GCCTCTACTTGTTGGGCTAACTCTAGGTTTTGCCTGACCTCATAAATGCCCCCTCTTTTCGGGGCTTCAACTACTGGTTGCCGGACTTGCTGGGCTGCGGAGGCACGGTCAAGGGAATTATCACTTAAGTTCGCAAATAATCGCCATGCCTCGGGGTCATTTTTGGACATGAATGTCCCACCACAAGAATAATCCACCATTTGGCGATGAGACTCAGTTAAGCCATAGTAAAAGGTCTGCACAAGTTGCTAATCAGGCATTTAGTGGTGGGAACACTGTTGGAGAAGGTCACGAAGTCTCTCCCATGAAATTGCTCGCCATCAATTTGAGCAAAATTAGTGATGGCTCGCTTGAGTTGGTTGGTCTTACCAATGGGAAAGTATTTCTCCAAAAACCTCTGTTGTAATTGGTCCCAAGTTATGATTGAATTAGCAGGTAAGGAGTTTAGCCAGTGTCTGGCTTTGTCCTTTAATGAAAATGGAAACAAACGCAACATAAGGATCTCATTGGTGAAATTCTGGATCCTTATTGTAGAGCAAATTTCCAGAAATTTATTCAGATGTTTGTAAGGGTCATTATGAGCTAGTCCATAGAATGATGAAAGCATTTGGATGGTGCTGGACTTAATCTCATAATAAGCAGCAGTGGTGTCGGTAACTGAATGTATGATGGTGATGATGTATATGCAGTGGGTGTGAAGTAATCCTTAAGGGTCCGGTTAGGCCCATTTAGGCCTTCTGGGTTTTCCATCTCTATTGATTCAAAGTATGGATATGAATATTCAAGCCTAAAAACACAGGGCAGAGCCTCTAAGTTTCCTAAGATTCTTTTCTAGTTCAAGATCCAAACTCCACAATTCAGGGCCACATGAACGGCGCCTATGCATACACTACTCATACATATACTCACTAAGTTCTGACTATGTGTACTAAGTTATGAAAGCAAAAATACCAAAGAAGAGAATACTCACAGCGATTTAACGAAAACGCGTTACTTGTCTTACAGGTGCTTGATGTGTAGACGTTGTCTTCAACCTCTAACTGGGCTTTGTCTTTCTTTTTAGCACTTTGGTGCTTTGCTTTCTAGTGTTTGCCTTTTTTTTTAGCAGTTTAGTGCTACGGTTTTTTTTTTTTTTTTTTTAAAGCTCAGTTGCACTCCACTTGCACTTCGGTGATAGCTCCACTTTCAAACGCACTGCACACTTAGTAACACGAAAGCATAAAATTCTAAATTAAAAATTAAAATAAGAATGTAATTTTAAATTAACTAATTTTGCCAAAAGTCCCCGTCAACGGCGCAAAAATTTGATGGGTTATTGCACACACCAAATATAAATACTAAACTATACCAAATTCTTTTAGAATAATGGCAAGTTTAGGTATCGATCCACAGGGACAATTGTGAAATTAAACTAATTTAATTGCTAAATTCCTATATTAATTTTGATTAAAAAGATTGATGGATATTATGACTAAACAAGAATTAAATGAAATTGAATAATTAAATTGAAAATTAAAATTAGGGTTTGAGATGTAAATTTTTGGAAAAAATCCTAGGGCAAAGAATTCACCACTAACCACATAAATGAGATTTAACATCGGCCAATAATTGCAATCCGGTTTGAAATACCCAATATTTCACAACTATAAATTTGAAATATTGATCAAGATGGTTGTTGCATTCAACGTACATGCACGAATCATCCCGAGTAGCATGAGGCGTTTGCTCTAAGCTATGGTAGCAACACGACCCGTCTCTCGTAGCATGACCTGTCTCGTACTTTGAACACAAACACAAAGAAAACTAATATATGGAAAACATTAGACAATCACAGATAATAAATAACTTGAAGAGATGAAAGGAACAATTATTAAAAACTTCTGAATCATCCATACATTGATTCAAACCGATTCACAATCAAAACTTATGAAAAATCCTATTACATGGCTACGGCTTTATCAAAACCTTAGAAAGGAAGAACCTAGTCACTCATAGAGGAGTGAGAAGAGGTGGAAGACCCCATGGAAGTTGGATTGAAAGCTTGAGAATCCTTTCCTCCAAGCCCTAGCCTCTCTCTTTAAAAAAATATCAGAACCCTAATCCAGCCTCTTTCTTTCCTTTTTATACCTCTGCTATCTTTCAAACAGGTTTAAAACATCATGCCCGTTTTCCAAGGTACGGCCACACGTGTTGAAAAAGTCAACGCACGTTCAGGAAAACCCTCCTCACGTGCAGGAAGCTCTTTTCTTTCCAAATTCTGTAATTTTGCCCATTTAATACTTGACTATGTATAACTTAATTGACATTAAACAGACATAAAATATATAATTTGACAAGCAAGTAAAGTTAAGAGATCCTAATTAACAGCCTCAATATTGCACAATTCGACCTTAATTAGTAACCTCACTCTATCGTCGCTTCTCTCTATCGCCGTGGTCACTCTTTGTTTCCGGTAGCGCATCCTCTTCTTGTTGGTCAGAGTTAACATCTCATGTCCAATAGTTTAACATAAAATATGAAGCCCAACGCACCTATATTATTCATTTATTCAAGCATAATTCTTGCGAGAACCAACTTTCAATATGATGAAAGAAAAGCAACTCATATAAACACCATAATTTGAGGAAGAGTTCATCAATGAAAGGGAAAAATAAAAGGCATTACGAGAGACGATTTTTGTAAAATTGTATAATTTAACGGCTCAATCTTACTCGTCAAGAAACGGAACCAAAAAAAAAAAATTGAAATCAAATTATTTACAAAATTTTCTGAGAAATACCTAATTTGAAATTACACAATTTACCCAAGAAGCGCAGAGACAATGTTTACCTTCTGGTGGAATACCCATTATCATATCCGCAAAATGCTCATCAACAAAGGAATAGACCCCAGGACTGCACGACACACCAATGAAAACCTTGATCCTAATCTAAGAAAAAAATTAATAAAGGCCCTCTTGGGTTTTAGTTTTTTTTTTTATTATTATTATTAAAACACCAATGAAAACCTTGATCCTAATCTAAGAAAAAAATTAATAAAGGCCCTCTTGGGTTTTAGTTTTTTTTTTTTTTATTAAAATTTACAAAATATATAATAGACTAAAATAATCAATAAGACGAAATATCATATCAAATCCATAATCATTGTATTTTTTCTTTTATAAATGTCACATCTAACTATAAAAAAAATCTAACTATATTTTTAAACACAAAAATTTTAACTTACTAAATAATCAAAAATTAAAATACTTTATTAAAATAGTCAATTTCTAAATCGAACTCAAAATCTAAAATTTTAATTTTTTTTGTTTTATTTACAGACATGCATCACATTTAAGCAATGGATGTGTTGGGCTCACTGAAAATCCAATCAGTAGGGGGAATGATATAGGTGCGTGCACTTTTTTTGGGTAGGTTATACTATCTTAAAGTGGTCCAAGAAGGCCCAGTTTCGGAATTATTTTTTGGGCTTTTTGTTCAGTTTGTTTTGGGTCTTTTTCTACAGATTTTGTATAACATTTCCCAAAGAAGTTTGGGCCTTCTGTTCAGTTTTTTGGGCTCCCTTCTTGAAAACAATCACCCTGGTGGGTTTTGATTTCCAAAATTTACTTTTCAGATAAATCTAATTTTCTGTTTTTTCGTTTTTTTTTTATTTTTAATGAATTTTTTAATATTTTAAGTAATTTTTTTAAAACACGCCTAACATAAATATACTGAAAAAGTATAATTTTCGATTTTTTTTAAAAAAAAAATCACTAAATACCATTATTATAAAAAAATATAAAAATTCAATATATTTTTGGTATTTTTATATATTTATTATTTTTTTAAAGATTTTTTCACAAATATTTTACTTTTTAGATACATCTAAGTAAGGTATATCTAAAAAAGTAAAAAAATTATTTAAAATTTTAAAAATACTTACTAAAAAACAAAAAAAAAATACAAAAAATAAAAAACTTAATTTCTAAAAAATTAAATTTAGAAAATTGAAACCAAACATACTGATTAATATGTTTTTTGGAAATTATTAAAAAATTAAATGAATATATGATCCTACAATTAAAATATTAGTGTAGACAAACTATAGAATATCATTAGACAAGTATACGAACAGATAATCTTTTGAACTTATTAGATAATTTATGCTCTTTCTTTACATTTTGTAGAAGATTAATTATTAAATGTTTGTATAAATTATTAAAATGAACTCATGATCTTTTGAATTCACTAGATAATCTATGCTCTTTCTTTACATTTTGTAGAAGATTAATTATTAAATGTTTGTATAAATTATTAAAATGAACTCATGATCTTTTGAATTCACTAGATAATCTATGCTCTTTCTTTACATTTTGTAGAAGATTAATTATTAAATGTTTGTATAAATTATTAAAATGAACTCATGATCTTTTGAATTCACTAGATAATCTATGCTCTTTCTTTACATTTTGTAGAAGATTAATTATTAAATGTTTGTATAAATTATTAAAATGAACTCATGATCTTTTGAATTCACTAGATAATCTATGCTCTTTCTTTACATTTTGTAGAAGATTAATTATTAAATGTTTGTATAAATTATTAAAATGAACTCATGATCTTTTGAATTCACTAGATAATCTATGCTGTTTCTTTACATTTTGTAGAAGATTAATTTTTAAATGTTTATACTATAAATTATCAAAATGAACTCGTAGTACGGTAGTACATTACTTTTCGAAAACAAAAGTAAAGCCACACACAAGAAAAGCCAACAGAGCGGAGTTGGAGCAGGCACTGTAGTGTTGTTCCGGACTCATTTTAGAAATTATTTTAATAATTTAAATAATTTATATTTTAAAATATATGAAATAGAATACATCTAAAAAAAATATCAAATTAAACTCAAAAGAAAATATAAGAAAATAGAAGAGAGAGGGCATTTCGTAATTTAAGGTGAAAAGCGGTCCCCAATTTTGCCGACGGGGTTCTTAAAATGCGACTTGTCATCTTTCTAAGGAGAGGGAGAGGGAGAGAGAGAGAGAAGCCACCAAACCAAACTTCGACTCAAACTCAACTGAACCATAATCATAAAATAAGCAAATCGTAAACCCTACCCTACCCTACCCTACCCCATCTCTCTCACTGAATTCACCTTCAACACAACCATGAAACAATGCCCAGGTTCGTGCTCAGAGATCCCATAATTCTCAATCAAACAATTAATAATGGTATTTCTTGCTATGTACACACATAATAATATGGAATTTTTTTATTTTTAAATTGTTTCACTTCCAGCTACTTTCAATTACTGGGTTCACTTCTTTCTGGCTCTTGATCTTGAAAGTTTCAATTTTTTTCTTTCTTGGTTGTGTTGTGTTGTTTACTCTGTGTACCGACTCTGTCTCAGTCAGTCGCTTTGTTAATCTCTTTCATTTTTTAATTTTTTCTCTTCAATCATCACTCAATTTCATTTAATTACTACGTTAATCTAATAGTTACATTTAACATTGTCCTGTTTTGTCTATTCACAGTAGATTTCTTGCCAAAGAACGCTTAACAAGATGTATTATATATATATATGATACTCTTTCTTGGCAATATAGGTACAGTTTCTCATTCCCTTTTAATATGTGTATCATTTCTATATGTATACATGTAAATATATTATTCCTGTGTATTTTGATTATTGTGTTGTGAAACTATGTCTGGTTTGTTGTCCTTTGTTAGCGAATTGGTGTACGTATTGATCACAGATGGCGGAGGTAATTGGGCCAAGGTTGTACAGTTGCTGTAATTGTCGAAACCATGTTGCGCTTCACGATGATGTTATTTCTAAAGCCTTTCAGGTGAAGATTTTTTTTTTTTTCTTCTAATTTTCTTGAACTTGTAACTATGGTGGTAACTTGTATATTGTGTAATTGATCATCCAGACAAGGAGGACCTCATTTGCATTCCACCAATAGGAGTAAGGTTTGTTTGGTTTTTGGGAAAGATAGGAAAAGGAAACAAATTGAAGAATTAATCCTTGATTTTTCAATCAGTCAGGAGCTGAGAAATCAAGACTAGACTCGATTGTGATATCCTGGTTTGGAATCATAGTAAATAAAGCAAAGAAAGAAGGAAAATAAATGCAAAAGAGAAATATTTGTCATTAAAGTGATTTACTTGGGAAATGAAATTTTGTTAAACACAACAACCTGATCTGTATATATATAATTTATATTTATTTGTGGTAAAATTGATCTTCTTGTGCCTTTGCTAAAAGGTTGTTCAAGAGGCTTATAAATCCCAAAATTTTGTGATTTTGATCTCAGGGAAAGAATGGTCGGGCATTCTTGTTCTCCCATGCAATGAACATTGTTGTTGGGCCCAAAGAGGATAGGCAGCTCAGGACTGGTCTCCACACAGTTGCTGATGTCTACTGCAGCGACTGCCGTGAGGTGTTGGGTTGGAAATATGTGCGAGCTTATGAGGAGACTCAGAAGTACAAGGAAGGGAAGTTTGTACTTGAGAAATCGAATATTGCCAAGGAAAACTGGTAGTCCACCATAAAGTACCCGTTTAGCTGTCACTCCCATTTGTTGGTTAAAGTGTATCAGTGCTCCCACATGTTTGATGTTGTCCGTGTTATCTGAAAATTCAAAATTGTTCAGTGATTGTTTCTTGCTGTGCAATCCTGCTGTGTTGTTGTGTGGAAATTGTATTGGAGAATTATTATTGATTTTGTGCATATCTTTTTGGTTTATTCTTTGATTCTTTATGTCTTGGATTAAGAATGTTAATTTGACAGACTACTTGTCTAATTTAAGGCTTTCACTAGATAAAAATTTGGAGTTGTGAGAAACTGTGATGAGAAGTAATTTTGTCTATTCAAGTTGAGTTGATTGCTTCTGTCAACATGGTGGTCAATTGTGTGATCAAAATTAGTTTCCGGGTGTCATTTGATTGCAGTTTTGTCATGTTTGATTCTTGAAATTATATTTATAAGCTCAACGCCTGTTTTTGTTTTCATTAGTGTAGTGTGGTTTGAATAGGCATATCTCATAGAAAGTTTGGAATATTTACTAAAGACTTTTGCTTCTACTATTCAATGTGGAAGCTAAAAAAGATTAGTGTAAAGAATATATTGTACTTGTATATATAGATGATTTTAAAAATTAATACATTTGAAAAATATTTCTCAATGCATTGTTTGCTCTTCACAATCTCTAGTATGCAAGAGTTGATGTATATTGATCTTGCTCTCTTGCAATGTTGGTTCTATAGATCAGTCCTTGAGGAGGTTTGGTCTCACAAAATTAGCACCGTTGCATTGTAAATACTAATTAGTAGTCACCAAAGAGGGGAGAGCCAAACCTGGACGATTTTTTGCACAGAAGAAGGGTTTTGATGTTGTGGAGTATTGATGAATCACTTAAAACTCAAAGATGAATATATATGACTTGCCTCAGTTCTGGGGTTCTATTACCTTTTTGGCTCTTTCTAACCATGTGTGGTTTTCTTTAATCCCATCGTGAGTGTTAATTCTAATGTGTAAAGAGAGAAATACAGAGAATAATGTATCTATATTATTATTGATTGATGTATTACAAGATTGTTGTATATATTTTGTATATTACAAGCTATTATATAGGAGAGGATTTGGGAGTAGGTGAGGTAGGTGAGTGGTGGTAGTGGATGGTAGTGGAGGTGGTGGGTGGTAGTGGAGATGGTAGGTGGAGTTGCTACTCATGGAATTCAATTCACCTTCACCTTCATGTATCTAAGCTCTCACACATTTTCAATGTTTTCTTTGCAATGAATTTGGAATTTTTTTTTTTTTTTTTGGGTTCTTCTTTACAAGTGTAAGACACAGAAGTCCAATGGTATTATTATTGTTGATGGAGTGGAAAGAGCCTCTAAAGCAAATGTATGTCCTTGCTATGTTATTCGAGAAAACATATATTGCCTGATGTGAAATGTTTATTCTTGTATAGTATATTTTTTTACGCAGAATTCATGATCCATGTAGGGTGTTTTCTCAATATACTTCAAGCTTCTAGGGAAAATGAAGAGTAAGAAAACCCAACCAACTGTTGAGGGTGGAATTAAAATCAATCATGTTTAATAATATATGTAGTTAAACAAACACATATATATCCAATCCAGGAGCAGAATTAAAAACTGTAAGTGTTGTCCAATCCTGGAGCAGAATGAAAAATTCTGCGTGTTCAGAAGTGCATGTATAATTTAATATCGAAATAGTAATATGAAAAATAAAAATGCGTGTTTGTTATGCTTCAAAAAAACAATATTAATTCTAATTATACATTTTCTTCTTAGGCTTAATGAGTTAATGAAATTCAAAACAACTTCCATGCCATGATTATTCTTTTGGAACTCAAGTTTTAAAAATGTCCTATCTAAAAATAAAAAATAAAAAGTTAAATGTAATAAATATTAAAGATTTTCAAACAAATATTTCAATTCTCGAAGTAAAAATATGGTCTTAGTTAAAAATAATATCACCAATTTCTTTTGGAAAGAGGGAGTGAAGAAAAGAATAGATGATAAAAAAATCATTTTGGGTTAGTGTTTGTTCTTACATAAAATTCCTTCAATTGTATTCATGTTTGATTCACAAAATTAATAGTGCACTATTAATATTCCTATTAAATTAGTGTGGTATTCACTATTCAATTGGATTAATATCTATTGGATTAATAATCCCATCCTTACCCCATTACTAATAATTCTACAAATTTGTTAGATTAATTATCCATTGAATTAATAATCCTAAACCAAAATGTTAAGGAACAATTTGAAAAGATTAATTTTTTAACTCTTTTAAATCACATCGCTCTCTAACTTTTTTTTTTTTTAAGAAAAAATAAAACCCAAAAAAGTCAAGTTTTTACTATCTGATAGCACTTACGCGCATATACTACTTGTATACCGTAGACGACATTCGGTTATAAAAGCAGATTCAGAATCAAAAGTCAGATTGGGAAGACTCACCAAGTGACTGAACACGGACACAGAGAGAGAGAGATGGGATTGCTTAGCCATAGAGTTGAAAGAAGCGCGATTGTAGCAGGGGACCATATCTACTCTTGGAGGGCTGTCTTTGCTTACTCTCATCACGGTCTGTTTATATTCTTTTCCATTCTCTCTCTCTCTCTCTCGCTCTATGCTTGCTGATACTCTCTGGATTTGTGTTATTGTATTGGCTTTTTTGAATTGTTCCGAATATAGGCTGTTCCTCGATTGTTCAATTACGACACCCCTAATCAAAATCCTAGGTTTTGGAAATGTTGTTGTTATTTAATTTCCATCTTCTTCTACTTCCCCAAATAATTGGGAATCATTTATTTGCCGCTAAATCATCGCATTTGTTCATTTGTTTGCTATATTAACTATCTCAATGTTCTATTTGCAGACATGGGCACATAACAACTCTGTGCTCTCCTTTTTTTGTGTGGGTGTTCTTACTTTTTTTATTCCTGTAACTATTAAAACATGATCAGCCTATTATAATAGATCATCATCATCTCTGGCAAATCATGTTGTTTCAATTGTGCCAATACTATATATCTTATCAAGTAGTATCAAAGTGCTATATTTTACAGACCCATTCTAGCAGTGTATATACTATTTTTTAGCACAATCATTATATGACGTGATTGTGTATACCTAATGATATGTTACATGTATCTTCCCATGAACGTGTAAATCATGCTTTGAGAATCTCCCTCCAAATGATCAATGAGAAGCCCGACTCACCCTTCTCCAGCTGCAAGCACCACAATCATCAGAGGCATCGCCTCCCACAATGCCTAATAGGAACTGATCGGGCTACTACAAAACTACCACTACTGTCCCTCACAACAACCCCAATGCTTATTTGGACGCTTACAGAAGCTGTCTACTCAAAATAGCTTGGTATTGTACTCTCATGTGCAGTGAGTGGAGTCCTAATGAAATACTTAAAAAGAACTAAGAATTGTTGTCATGCCTTTGTCACTTGCAGTTGCAATGAGATGCAACTTATATACATTTGTATGCAACTAGGTTTATTTCAAACTGGAATTCAGCTTTGTGGAAGAAATTTGATCATCATTAGACTTACCTAGATACTGGGCTGTCTGTTTCTGGATTGCTAAAGAGTCATTACTCCATTGTGCATAATGACATGCATTGCTCCTGCCATTCATCTGAGGTGATTTTAATTTTGGAATCAAACAAAAAGTCCACAAGGGCTGGTGCCACATTGCATATCATAGCATTCATTTAGGTAGAAACTAAAGACTTTCTCTCATATAGTTGTGCACTGAAACATCAACAGCTTCTTGTATGTTCCAATTTGTTCGACAATGTTTATGGACTTCAGGGTGATGAGTTAAGCACCTTGTACATATACATGTTTTTTGATATAATGTTTCTCAACTTTCTTTTATGTTCTTCACTGTTTATGTGAATTGTGTCGTTGAACTAAATTTAATTTGCAGCATTGCATTTTAAGGCATGTCTTGTCATTTCCCTAGCCATTTTATACTAATATTTTGGCACCCGATTCCCATTCATTGTCATCTATTCTTCATGAATATATAATCTGGACAAAACATTTTGCAGGCATCTATGTTGGTGGAAGCAAAGTTGTTCATTTTACGCGTGAACAAAATATGGGTTCAAGTGATGATTCCTTCACGAGTATCTCTGCTCCAAGTTCAACAGTTCCATCAGCCTGTTCAACCTTCCCTGATTGCGGATTTCGACAACCCCGGAGGGCGGTAGTCATCTCTTGCTTGGATTGCTTCCTCGATGGAGGATCCTTGTATCGTTTTGAATATGGAGTCACGCCATCAGCTTTCCTCACCAAACTCCGAGGTGGCACCTGCACAACTGCAGAATCAGACCCACCAGAAGCAGTAATCCACAGAGCCATGTATCTGCTTCGCTATGGATTTGGAAACTATGATGTGTTTAAGAATAACTGTGAGGATTTTGCTATGTACTGCAAAACAGGTCTTTTGATTCTTGATACAACAGCTCTGGGAAGGAGTGGTCAAGCAGCGAGTGCCATTAGTGCTCCGTTGGTAGCCCTTCTTTCGTCTTCCCTCAATCTGTTTGGGTCGAGTCCAGTTGGTATGGTTACAGCAACTGCAGGGATGTATTGTGTGAGTAGGTATGCCGCTGACATTGGCGTTCGAACTGATGTTATTAAGTTGCCAGTGGAGGACATGGCTTTGTTCAATGGTTGGGAAGGACCAAATGAGTTTGCTGATGAAGACAATGATAGCTTTGAGAGACCGAATGAACTTGTTAGAAATGACAATCCACCTGCTAAGAGACAAAGACGTTGATGTGAATCATAAAGTATCTCTTGCTTGTCACTGATACACATGTTTTCTTTTTGTGTATGGATAAACACATCATTCAATGACCCAAGATGTTGATGTGAATCATTGAGTATCTCTTGCTTGTCACTGATACACATGTTTTCTTTGTGTATGGATAAACACATCATTCAATGACCCCTAAAAGAACTTCCTCTTATTGAATTCTGTAATGTCTTAATTGTTTGTTTATAGATTAGTTTATGTTAAAAAGTTTGAATTGGAATTTGGTGTTATTTGTTGGAGGTTAGTGAAATGTTTAGTGGTGTGCTGCATTTTCATGCGTGTACTTTGAAAGGTTTTTGACAGGATATCCATCTTACCAAGCTTAATGAAGAGTTCTTTTGACAGGATATCCATCTTACCAAGCTTAATGAAGAGTTCGGTTTCTCTCTAATCGGGGCATGGGCTAGAGAGTCCAGTATGGGCTCCCAGATTGTGCCGCATTGACTTTTTGTTTTTTATAAATTAAAAGGATCTGTAGCTTCCTCAATAGATAATCATAAAGGAATTCGGAAGAAAAAAAAAACACCCAAAGGCTACCCCATGCAAAATGATCTTGCACGGATGGATTTGCAGCTCCTCCAAATCCCCTTGAGTATTCAAAACGACAAATTATTTGATCATTCAATGAAATTCGAAGATCTAAGTAAAGGAAGAAATTGTTGAAGATGAATCCCCTTGCATCAAAAGAAATGATCACATTTGCCAATTTAATTCTGACATTCAACAAATATATCAAATGGAAACTGCCATTGCTGGCAATTTATCAGAATCTATTGAATGCTATTGCTAGAAGAAATTAAATCCCATTGTCGCATATAGATCAATAAAAGAACAACAAAATATCCTATTAGTGGGGTTCTTCTTGGACTACTCAGAAAATTTCAAGTTTGTGTAACGGTATGTTGCTCTCATGAGTTCAGCTCCACAAAAAGGCTGGCCTGTGGATGTAATCCTGCTTCTTTCAGGGTCAAAGACAGCTTCTCTGGGCCATAGACAATTCGAGGAAAGTTGGAGACAAGACTGTAACTCTCAACTTGTAAGCAACCCAAAGAATCAACATAGTCATAGAGAGACTGGATTTTTTCAGTACTATGGAACCTCCTTTCCTTGCGCTCACCAGTTGGGAACCGCACCAAAACCTAGATGATCCACAGCATCACAAACAAATATATCAGGTTAAGAAAACAAATTTCAATCCAAGCAGTTCAAACCCTTCATCTAAATTATTATTTTTTTGATAAATTCAAACCCTCCATCCAAATCTGTCCGTGAATTTTATAAACTCAGAAAAATGAATTTTAAAGTTGACCATTTTACGATGTGACATAATTTCTCATTCAAAAAGTTATGACAAGTGTGAAACAAAGTTAAAAATAAAAGCGGCATTACTTGTGTTACATCGGGTCCTTTTTCTGGCTCAGCGCCCAGTGACAGGGCTTTCTCCTCCCGAATTCTAGCTAATGCAGCTTCTTTCTCAGCAGCTTCACGTGCTGCTCTTTCACGAGCCTCTTCTTCTTCCTTTTGCTTCCTCACAGCTTCAGCAGCTTCCCTTGCCAGCTGCTCTTGCTCTTCTTTCCTCTGGTGTTCTCTAGCCTGATGGGGTACAAAAACCTCATCAAAATCACATAGAAGAGTAATAAGGTATATTTATTTATAAAACATAAGCTTGTGTATCGGAGAAAAGGGAGAAAGCAAGGACCAAGTGAAAAGGAAACATACTTGATCAGCTTCAAGTGCTGCTCGATATGCAGCATCTTGTTCCTCCCTCAAACGCATGTTGCTCCTTCGTTCTTCTGCATCAAGCCTGGCAGCAACAAGAACAGGGGCAGTTTCCTCAAGGACTCTCTGCAACATTGTCAGCACCTCCTCAGGAGATTTGGGCCCCTCAACCTGAAAGATCAGAGGAAGAAAATAATTAAACAAGAAAACAAACGACTTTGAGCCTTCAAAATGACATACAGAGCAAGCTTGTGATCGTACTATTGTCTGTAAGAGAGTGCGTGTGTGAGAGAGAGAAATTTGCACACATTAAAGATTGGCAGTCAATTTAGTGGGAAGGCAGTCATAGAATACAACAATGAATTGCTTAAAATGGATAATTGTCAGGCCTACTTACAACAGCCCCCTTTTTTCGTAGTAAAAGTACTGTTTACAACAGCAAAATACTAGATTGCTTTCTGTTTGAGATGGGGTTTTCAAAAATACTTGATAGATAACATGATACAAACTACACAAAATGAATATTTTAGCAGCCAGAAAACATTTGTGGTAATAAACAAAAGCAGCCCAAGCAAAATAAGAGATACGAAATTAACAATTGTTGCCTTATATATAGACATTTTTACGGATGAAAATGCCCCAGATGTCAAGTCACAATAGAAAGTAGCCACACAGTTGTTCTTCCTTATGCCATAATTAACAAATTTAAAGGTCGCATTCAACCATTCAATGCTGCAAAAGGGATCTACATCACACAATGTCCATTAAACTCCTTTTTCCAGGATATGTTTAGGGTGCTGAAAACAAATGCAAACAACCTAAACTCCTATCAAATAATCAGCAAGAAATAGTTATTTTTTACTAAATTTGGCCCCACAACAAAACAATATTACACTACATATCCCTCATCACAGCTCTTGTTTGCTCAAGGGGATGATCTTCCAACAGAACAACAGTATTTAAAGCTGCCCAGAAAACATAGAATTTCTTACGGAAAATGTGTACGAGCTAGTAATAACTACTTGAACATGAAATGCTAGATTGTGTGTGTGTGTGTGTGTGTGTGTGTGTGTGTGGTCGTGTGTGAGAGAGAGAGAGAGAGAGAGAGAGAGAGAGAGGGGGGGGGGGGGGGGGGGCCTATGCAGCATACTGGAGGCTATTATAACACTTTACTTTTTTCTCAACAGTTCATGATTTTGTGGGATTAACCTATTCTGTTTACTTTCGACTTCAGGAAATCTACTCCACTCTTCAACTCTAGTAACATCATCATTGCTTAAAAGGCCTAATAGAAATTAAACTGCTAATATCAAAAGTGAAATATGAAAAAGGGTATAGTAGCACAAGGATAACCTAAAGTACCCTTCCCTAAAAACCTACAATGCCGCAGATGGATCCATTAAAAAACCAAAACTACAATAAGTTGTAACGAAGGCCTACACTTCACTACCAAATAAACTTGAAAGACAGAAAAGATAGAAAACTGGGCTTGTGCACAATAGAGAACGAAGGGCCACAAAGGTAAAAATTATGTAAATAGACTAAATAAAGCCTCTGACAGACAGAACTAGTCTGGATGCTATCAAAACCTAAATGAGTGTGCGCAGGTATGCATGTGTTTGAGAGAGAGAGAGAGAGAGAGAGAGTATTGAATTATTCAATAATACAAGCAATTGCGTTTAGATGGACATCTTCAACAAAAAGACAGTTCGATATTCTTGAGTTGAAACTCAAATGTTGTATAAGCTCAAGTTGCAAATTACAAAAATGGAATTAGACCACACAACACAAAGTACAGATAGAAAGGCACAAGAAATTGCAGCAACATAACATAAAGCTCCCACACAATATAGATAGGAACGCAATAAGACAGTGCTAAAGTATCCAAAAATTTCAAAATCATTCAATATCCATTGTTCATTGCAAAAAAAATAAAATAAATCCCCCATAGTTTACATCAAATGTCTAAAAACATTAAAAAAGATAAAAATGTATGTTCCTATGTTAATGACATAAAACTCTAGGTTAGTCCAACAAACATCCATATTAACAGAAAAGATCCCAACTTCCATGCACCTCACAAACTAATTAAGCTTTAATTAGACTAAAAAGGAGTTTTAACAAAGAGAAAATGATAAAAATTAATACCTGCTGAAGTAAGGCAATCCTCTGATTCGTGGCTGCCATAACCACAGCACAAAACGGATACCTAGATGCCTTTAAGCTGTTACTCATCTTGAACCCCTCGCTAGCGCGAATACTCCCTCCCCAGGAAACGAAATTCTCGTTCACAAACGCGGCCAAGACTTCAGAACACAGAATCCTCTCGCAAAACAAAGGCGTATCGGGATGATCAGGCGAATGCAAGTACACAAACAACAACTTAAACGCATGCCGAGACCGTTGCAGAGCATCCATAAACCCTTCGGCAACAAAATTCGGGCCAGTAGTGCCATAAACCCTCTCGAAATGAGATACGAAATCCATCGCCTCTGATGCAGAGGCCGATGTTGGAACCAATCGAGACGACGAGGAGTCACCATTACGGCTCGAATTCAATCCGATCATGCTCAGAGAATACGAGAGGACACCACCGGCGGCCCACATACCGAGGCCAATTGCGCCGGAAATTAACCCTAGGCTACTGGAAATGATGGAAAACGGAAGCGTGATGAGCTTCCATGCAAGACCTGGAGGCGGAGGACCGCGGGCGATGAGTCCGGATCCTTCGTCTGACTGATGCGGATCGGCGGCGGAGGAGGAGGGGTCGTCGGAGTGAGTGGAGGTGAAAGTGGAGATGGCTTGCTCAAGGTCCCACCCATGGGTGTAAAGGATCTCGGTGCACAAATCGGGGTCTTCAAGGCCTGTGATTGCTTGAAATGAAGCTAATTTGTCTGCATCATCAACCATATCTCTATGCATCTATATCTATCTATCTATCTATCTATCTATCTATATTGATTTGATGGTATAATATAAATTCAAGAAAATTGTAGAGAGAGAATTGGGGAAGAACAATTTCAAAAGTTGTTTGTAGTGATTTGATTTGGTTGGGGTTTATAGCATACGAGTGACGACGACGACGATCATCCCCATCATCATTTGGAGTGGTCGATTTGGAATTCCCACAAATGTCCATAACTAATCCTCGTAATAACCGACATTGCCATGCTTCGTTTTGCCCTAATTACTCAGGGTGTTCGGTTTGCGGTTTAAACTTGTTGGTATATATATATACTAGTGGGTGGCACACACGATTCGTACTTAAACCCATGGTCATGAGCTCAAGCCTTGTCCATCTCTTTGTTTAATTTTTTTTAAAAAAATAAAAAATACTAAAAATACTGCCACATGCATGAAGAGAGTAAAGTTTCAGGACACCAAAGTTCCTGTTCACTTTATAATAGTATAGAATTTTTAAAAAAATAAAAAATACTAAAAATACTGCCACATGCATGAAGAGAGTAAAGTTTCAGGACACCAAAGTTCCTGTTCACTTTATAAAAAAATTGAAATTTTAATTACTTGTGTTGTGCGTTGTAATTTGTGCGAATAGGATTCGCAAATGCACTCATGGTTGCAGAGGGTCGTAAATTAAATTTTTTATTTTAAAAAAATTATTTTTGAGTCTCTTTTTCATTTTATAAATATTTATTTTGACCTCTTTTTCTCTATTTTTTAAAATACTCAACATTAATAATTAACGAATTAAAATTTATAAAATTAAAAACACAGCAAAATTAATTCTTAACACAAGCAAATTATTTAAAATCTTAAACTTTTAAATAAAATCATAAATTAATCCAAACACATCTTTCAAAATCTTAAATTAAATTATCAAAATTATTTACTATTTAACAATACAATTAAAGTAAAATCATTCAAAATCTTAAACTTATCCAAAAGTAATTTTTCATTAACTTTTTTATTCATCTAAAATGTAATAATAAAATAACAACAAATTGTTGTCAAACTTCATCCAATTCAAACTTATTAAATAAAATAAAAACATTTGTAAACTTGCAAATTCCATCATACAAATAAAAAAAAATCTAAGCACAAGTAAGTTCTTGCAAGTACCAGTAACACTTTACAACTCGTAATAATGTCATATTCTAAATTGTATCCATCCCCATTATGTCTTACATGCAAATTGGTTCGAATTGGACGATTTATGCCATTAGCTTATGCCCAACCCAACTAATTATGGCCTTAAAACGACACCTTAACCGTCACAAAACGGCGTCATGTGGGTTTGGCATCTAATGAACCAACGTCGTCGTTTTTCCCAGTGGCAAAATGAACAAATGTTTTCCATGTGGTCGGTCAGTCGGACCCTCTCACTTTTGGAGCAAAATAGTAGCGCACTAATACTATGTTTGGTTGAGGGATTTGAGGAGGGATTTGGAAAGAGAAATGAAAAACGTAAGTGAAATGTGAAAAAAATATACCTACATTTCACATAATTTCACACACATTTTTCCTTTTCCTTTCTAAATCCCTCCCCAAAACTGGTTCAAAAAAAAATTGATAATGTCTTTTAAAAAATTCCCAAAAACAATCACTTTTGAAGGAACAATATAAAAAAGTAGTTTTAGGAACTCTAAAATTTATTTTTATACAAAAATAAAAATAACAGATATTTTCAAACTGTTCACTATTTTTACTTGGGAAAGCATAAAAAACAAAAGCAATATACCAAACCAAAAGAGGCCGATCGTTATATGGATTTGCATAGCCTGTTAACATAATGTACAACGTGTTTACATGTACTCTGAAACAGATTCAACATAACCCCCTTTCCAATGAGGATCAAAAAAATGGAAAGAAGAGATGGTATGGTAGCTCACTGAACCTCCTCAATCAGAGCCTTACCCCTAGTTTCTACTTTACTCTCCATTCTCAAATTCACTCCTTTGCTGCCTCCAAATTCCATAGTTGAACTCTTCTCTGCCTTTACAATGGCTGCCAACGAAGACCAAGCTTCTCCAGGCTGCTCATGGACCCAACACAAAATAAAGAAGACCTTTCTCTCTGCAAGCTTCAGCTTACCCCTCATTTCAGACTTTTTTGATTTCCGGGGTTTCTCTGATTTCAGCTCCCCCTCTGCAGCTTGAATCAGCCTCTGTAGATCGCAAAGCAAACTGACTAAAGCAGAGCCTCCAAGAGAAAGTAGGCTTATCACATCATCTAGAACACCCAATCCAAATTGCAAACCACCCATGTGTCTGAAAGCCGGAGAGCAAGTTTGCTCCAAGCAATGAGACACAGCTTCCAACACAGTCTCTGGCTGCCCACCTTGACCCAGAACAGAAGATACACTTAGAACAACTGTGGCTGATCCTATGGGATCTGATTGCCAATCCCCGTTGTAGAGGCGAAGAGTGAAACAATAACTATATATGATGTCTACAAGGTGAACAGCTAATAGTGGGGATGGTTCAGTTGAGCTGAGCTTGCTGATTGGAGGTAATGGTGTTTCGGGGCCAGGTGGAATTTCATATGATTGATCACTTCCCAGATCATCTGGTGGTGAGGCCACTGTTTCTTGCTTAGCAAGTGGTTGGACAAGTCGTGTCCCTTCCCGGCTTAGAGATATTGTTCTAGCAGAAGCTTTCAACCACCATGGTTCCCATGGCTCAATCAACTTGCTGAGCTCTCCAGAAGCCACAGCTCTCTGAAAATGTTTCTTTTCCTCAGCAGATAAATCGTCAACACTGATTTCATATCCTGTAGGGAGGAAAATAGCTCAAATTAGCATTAAACCCAAAGAGTCCTGGGAAAACATCATATAGTACATAAATAAGTGCCAGCATTTGAAAATTGAAGAAAAATGGAACAGGGACCATACCAGACAGAATCTTTTGAATGGTCTCCTCTGACAAAGTTGAATCTGACAAGATTTAAAAAAAGAAATTATTCTAATAAGAACCCTGTTTACTCAATTGGGACAAGAAGCATAAAATTGAAGGCTACAATTGCAATAGGTGGAACAAAAGATCGTCAGTTGCATGTAAAAAATAACTGAAAGACTATGTACCAAAAAAAGGGAAAAAACACCAAAACAGGACCAGACCCTCAAAATGAAAGTTTAAGAAGGAAAATAATTATATTCAAACAATGAAAACTCCTTTAGGTACTTGCTACATAGTCAAACAAGGAACAGAATGATAACAATTGAACTGAACCAAAAGAGATGATTCCAAGGTCCCATAGCAGTTAGAGCGGGTACAAGGCCATCCATCATCAAAATACCAACAGTAGGCCATGCTCTCCAATCTCCTCTCATGCCCCTCAAGCAAATGGAAGCAGAGATAACTGCTATGAAACCCATTTTATAAGCAGCAATGGTTAATTTACAATACACAAGATATTGAATGCACTAATTCAGATACATGAGAGTTTCAACTTAACCAAACACCAAACTCTCTCAGACTCTGATGCAGTTATGTATTATATGCACCATCACTATTACTGTAAATAATCAAAGAATATTTTTAACTTGAAGTGAACACCCTCTGGTTTTAATCGTACCATACCAGTTTAATCTGGTTATCTACTAAATAACACTCATCACTAACAACTAAGCAAAATTGGAAATATTCTTCCCTTCCATCTCTAGTTGGGAAGTTTCTCAATTCACTTCTTGGAACCAACTATGCATTGACTCTTACATTAGTTAAACAGAATGTCAAAACATTCGTGTTGGATTTGTCATGCAAGTGAGACTATTTTGTATACATATATATATTGCAGATGAGACTTATGCAAAAACTAACTTGTAGTGCCTATGCCATCAATCACCAAATGAAATTTTTTTTCTATTTGGTAATCTTCCTTCCAGAGGCCACCATTCAATACTGATCTAATAAAGCAAGGCATCATTTTTTTCTCTGGCAAAATGCCTTAAATTTTGCCGAAATTTAATTTTGCTATCAGAAACCAATCATAGGGCAACTGACAAGTACCCTTTATAACCAGCATGAGCAAACTAAGAGACTACCACAAAAAAATTTCCCTGGTGTTCCACAAAATTAATGATGGCCTGATTTATCAACATATCAAAGAGAAGTAAAATTCTTCAATGCAAAGAGTACTAACTTACCATCCTCATCCATGTTATCCATCTCTTCTTCTGAATGGAATCGTTTGAGTATGTCTAGCATTTTTTGTTTATTTTCATCATCAGGTTGCAATTGCCGTATCTCTTCCACTACGTTTTCTCTCATGAAAGATTCAGTACAGCGTAGACAATGAGACTGCAAAAATTGACAAATGAGGTCAACATCCACTGAATTATTTGACCAAATTATGACCCAAAAAAAAATACTGTATGGCATACATTTATGATCTATGAAGCACAGGTACGGGTACGAGTACGATACGGGTACGAGTGCGGGTACGTCGATACGTCAAAATTCAAAAAAGTATGATACGGGTACGACTGCGGTACGCCAATAAATATATATATTTTTATTATATATGATAAAAATTATAATTTATAAAATTTATTATATATATTATATATGATCAATTATATTATATATTATACATGATCAATTACATTATATATAAAAATTTATTATATTATTATATATTATATGTATCACCAATTATATTATATATCTTATATTATATATATTATATTATATATCTTATATTATTTATATATTATATGTATCACCAATTATATTATAATATATCTTATATTATATATATTATATTATATATCTTATATTATTTATATTATATTATATGTATCATATGTCTTATACTATATCTGAGAGGAGGCGAGAGAGCAGAGGCGAAGAGGAGCAGAGGCGATCGAGAGACGAAGAGAGAGAACAAGAGAACAGAGGCGATCGAGAGACGGAGAGAGAGAGAAAGGAGAGAGACGAAGACGATCGATCAACAGTGAGCAGAAGATCGGTCAAAGAGAGAGACGATTGATCGATCGATCAAAGAGAAAACCCTAGAATCTTTCATTGCCCTAGCACACAAAGGCGACGCCTCTCTACACTATCAGGTTCGATCTCTTCCATCTCCTCTGTCTCTCTCTCGATTCCCTCTATAGATGTGTTTATGGTATGTTTAAAGCACGAGGTTATCTCTCTCTCTCTTTCTCTCTATGTATGTATACATGTAGTTTTTGAGTATTTTTTGCCCCGGAACGTACCCATGGCGTACCCCCTCCGCACCCATGCCATACCCAAATGTCCAAACGTACCAAACCCCTTTTGGCCCTACCCGGTACGCGTGCAGCCGTACCGGTACACGTACCCGTACCAGGTACGTAGCCGGTACTCGTACGGCAACATTTTAGGAGTACCGGTGCTTCATAGTTTATGATTAATAAAATAGCAAGCAACATGGAACTTGCCAACAATGTAAGATCATCAAAAAAACCTCAAATGTTCAAAATACTCACCTTGTAGCATTGAAGGGAGCAATACCGGGTATTGCATCGAGGACAAGTATATTGTGAGAATTGCTTTTGGCATCTGCACACAAAAGTTCAAACGCATTAAGGACACATATGAGGCTCATGTTACAGACAGATTCTTGATGCAAGAAACCCATGATCACAAAGTTCAAACTCATTAAAATTTGGGGAATTTCAGATAAACAGAAAATGAGAAAACTAGCAAGTTAACGAAGAGCATGTGAAACATGTGTCCCTCGGCACAATTTTCACTTTCACCTCCCTGAATTTGTAATTAGTTTCCCCATTTCCCATTTATCTACTGTTTTCTCTTAAAATTTCCCATAGAAGTATAGTTATCAAATGATGAGTTCTTTATTCCTTTAAAATCCAAAGTTTGAACTTTGAAGTACATAAAAGAAGTTAAAACTACTACCAACAGTATTCTATGAATGCCGACAAAGTTTGAAGTATCGAAACCCAGTTAAACCTATCATTTGCAGTTCCACCATTACTATTTCTATGAAAAATTGAAATGAATACGCATTGGAATTGCCTACAATGAAAGCATATATACACAGACACACAGAATTGAATTGGAAAAGACGTACACTCGGCAGACTATGCGAGCCTGTGGATTCAATTGAGACGAAGTAGATGGTGTCTCGGAAGTAAGTATTGTCTCCTCCATTCACCAAAGTTATCGCAAAGCCTCAGAGATTGCAAAGCCAAGCCTAGTGAATAACTAGCCAAGAGAATAGTTGCTTGCTATGGTGGGCAGTGATTGGAGCCCTAGAAAATTTTGAGAGGGAGGGAGGAAAGCCCTAGAAAATACGAGAAAACCCGGGAAACCATGGTACATATGGGCCGGGCTACGTTGGTCGCAGTTTGGACTGGTTATTGCTTGGGCAGGCTCCACCTCCACCGCTTTCAATCATGGGCTATGTATTTGTTTGTGTTTTCTTCTTGTGTCATTGTTAGCTTTGAACTTTGTTACATGTTTTAGTTATTAAAAAAAAATGTAATACAAATTAAATAAACTTTATAATTTTTTTTTATTTTTTTCCATTTTATAGTTCGTTTGGATTGAGAGAGTTGATAAGAAAGAAAATAAATGGAGAAAAAGAAATATCTCATTATTTATTTGGTTGACTAAAGAGATGAGAAATTGTGAAAAAGAAATGGCAAAATTTTTTCTTTCTCAAAGCTTACGTTGTTTTATTTCTCACTAAAAGTGAAAGTAAGAAGTAAAAATTGTTTTTTATTAAAAATATTATAATGCCTAAATTACATATAAATGAAAGCAAATAAAATTAAAAATAGTTGTGTATTTTTTAGAGTAAAGAAATAAAGTTTAAGACTCTTAAAATATCATCCTCAAATTTATTTATAATGACACGAATTGTGTCATTTGTTGATTTATGCAAGAATCAAACACCGACGATATAACTTTTGTCCCATCTTTTGTTGATTTACATAGACAAATTTAGGAATCAAACACCTACAATGCAACTTCTGTTTCCATTCACCAAAGTTATCGCAAAGCCTCAGAGATTGCAAAGCCAAGCCTAGTGAATAACTAGCCAAGAGAATAGTTGCTTGCTATGGTGGGCAGTGATTGGAGCCCTAGAAAATTTTGAGAGGGAGGGAGGAAAGCCCTAGAAAATACGAGAAAACCCGGGAAACCATGGTACATATGGGCCGGGCTACGTTGGTCGTAGTTTGGACTGGTTATTGCTTGGGCAGGCTCCACCTCCACCGCTTTCAATCATGGGCTATGTATTTGTTTGTGTTTTCTTCTTGTGTCATTGTTAGCTTTGAACTTTGTTACATGTTTTAGTTATTAAAAAAAAATGTAATACAAATTAAATAAACTTTATAATTTTTTTTTATTTTTTTCCATTTTATAGTTCGTTTGGATTGAGAGAGTTGATAAGAAAGAAAATAAATGGAGAAAAAGAAATATCTCATTATTTATTTGGTTGACTAAAGAGATGAGAAATTGTGAAAAAGAAATGGCAAAATTTTTTCTTTCTCAAAGCTTACGTTGTTTTATTTCTCACTAAAAGTGAAAGTAAGAAGTAAAAATTGTTTTTTATTAAAAATATTATAATGCCTAAATTACATATAAATGAAAGCAAATAAAATTAAAAATAGTTGTGTATTTTTTAGAGTAAAGAAATAAAGTTTAAGACTCTTAAAATATCATTTTCAAATTTATTTATAATGACATGAATTGTGTCATTTGTTGATTTATGCAAGAATCAAACACCGACGATATAACTTTTATCACATCTTTTGTTGATTTACATAGACAAATTTAGGAATCAAATACCTACAATGCAACTTTTGTTGATTTATGTAGACAAATTTAGAGAAACCATAACCTTTTCATTTCATTTCTTGGCTGCTATAGTATGTTTGCTCAAATACCAAAATTTTACCATTACGTGTCACATTTGCTGCTGGTTGGCTTGAATTAATGTTATTTATTTATTTATTCAGCAAGTGAAATGAAATGAATGACTTCCACGAGAGGAACTCTGGCCGCCCCTGGTAGCGGCAGCAGCGGCTGTTGCAGCATATGTAAACCAGGAAGGGATATATAAAATATGAAAAAAAAAAAATTCATTTTGGAGATCTCCCACTGCACTGTCCATTTCTACAACTAAGAGATCTATATAGTTTGTAGGACTTTTTCCTCATTAACTTTCTTAGTAGTTAAGAGTTTGTTTAAGAGTTTGTGCAAGCTGATTGGATTACAGACCGATCAGAAAGATTGCAAAAGATTTGATAGTGGGTCTTTCATCATTTGAACAGATTAACTCCTTCATCTGTCACTCACGGATAACAAAATTAGGCAAGGGCACAATCTCAAGATAAAACATATCCCAATTTCTTATGTTTGTGTTAGTGTTTTGTGATGTGGGCACATAAATAAAATATTGATCTATCAATGCAGTAGTAGTACATTATCAATGGTATTTAGTACCTACCATCATGTACCATCTTAGCTTTATCAAATCTTGTGCAATCTTGGTAACCTTGTGCATTATTGTGGAGGATTGCAGCACTAAGTCCATTGGCTTCTGCCAACCCAATTGATAACATCATCTACTTATCTTTGTCTTCTGACAGAAAAAAACAACCAAACTTAATTAAACAATTAAACATTTCTGTACAGTAATTAGTTAACACAAGAAAAGACAACCATCATTTTCAAGAGGTCTCCATCTGCATAGAGATGCAACTGATCACTCTCTTTAAAAAGTAATATCTTATTTCATGTAGTCCCCACTTTTCCATGGCAAATTAGGTTATGAATTTTTTATTTTTATTTCAAGAGAAAGAAAGGAAATAGGGAAGGGAAACTACATTCGCAATGATAAAACTGAAACACAAATATCACTTTTGGCAAGGAAACATCTCAACAATCAGACCACTTCTTGGTCTTCAATTAAGGTCATGAATAGAAACCTCTGGTATCCTATTCCCCATATAAAGAAGTGGGCATTTCGGTTTTAACAGGTTTTGGTTTGTTTGTACTGATTTCACTTGAATGGTAAGAGCACTTACCTCTCTATGTTGAAGCCTTTCCACAGCTGTGCTATATATATTGAAAGGCTAACTATCAAAAAGTAGCCTACACCACAAGTCCTTTTTTGTTTTCAACAATGTCTTTATCACATGCTAATTAGTACTTAAGTTACAATTACTCTTAGCCCAAAGCAAATAATGTATAACCTCATTTAGGTCTCAACCTATGATTGTTAGTACTTAAGTTACCATTACTCTTAGCCCAAAGCAAATAATGTATAACCTCATTTAGGTCTCAACCTATGATTGTTAGCTGTATCAAGTCTTTTTCAAATTTTCATACCAGAAGAAATTAACACAACACTGAGTAATGAATTCTTATGAGGCCTGCAACATGTAAACTGAAGAAATCCATACATTATGAGAGAGAGAGAGAGAGAGAGAACACATGTATCATTATCATATTAGTAAAATGATGACAGAAAAGCTCAGACACAGAGGTTAGAAGTTAGCATTTTACTGGTTTATCAGCTTAATCTATGAACAAGTCAAGGGAAGATCAAAGGACCAATAAAGGAAAACGAAAAAAAAACAAACAAAAAAAACTTTCTACTTCCCCATTGCCTTTTCCCACATTTCTAATCAAACAAAGACCACAGCAATTGAATGGTTTAGCCTATAGCAGTTGCCACACTTACATTACTTATTCACTTTATGTTTTCAAGGTTTTCTTGTCTTTATCTTTCGATCCTTTGTCATGGCTCTTCAAGTTCAATTTCCATTGGAACCAAATCATAGCAGGCATACTCAGCACTTTGTGGCTTCTTTATAATCTCAATCCATCACAAAAGTCTCTCAGCCAAGCAGGTGGGAAGTGGCCCTAGAGATTTGATGGTAATTGATGAATAGCGTAGTCTATCCCGTTCAAAATATTAGCAAGCTGATTAGTTGCATTGATCTCACTTGTGGCTTTCTGATATAGAAACTGATGGAGTGACACATATATTTCCTGTTTCGTTACATGCCTGTTTGCCTGTAAGACATTTAAGATCAGTTTCAAAAGAATGAATTTGCAGAAGGAGAGACAAAAGGCGACAAAATTGATTTTTTTTCACTTTCTATCTTTTAATTCAAAGTTTACCTCAGCCTCGACAAAAAAGCATGCCCATATCTTATTCCCTCGAACTTCCATCACTCCCTTCAAGATAGTCAAGCCAAAACCTTGAATTATATCTATTATTTCAAGGAAAAATCCCTTTTCTTCACAAAGCATCTGCAGCAGAAAAGTAAAACTACATTGAGTGGTTCAAATTTGTATTGTTACGTAATTCTCCCTCAAAAAATAGGTCAAGTAATTAGGTTTGATCGCCCATCTAAAAATATATACATATACATATATTTTCCTTTTCTATACCTGTACTAGCTTTTGGCCAGGGAGACTGAGGTCCTTGACATCCACTGGATCAACCATTGTCTGAGCCCCAACTGCACATGCCCACGTGGCATTAAAACCACCACTGCTTGAGCAGTCTTGCAGAACCGCTTCATTCTCCTGAACAATCGCACAAATCTATTACTATGCGACAGCAAGCAATGGTTGAAACTGAAAATCATTTTTCTTGAATTTTATAGGTAAAAACAATATGCCTAAGCAGACCAATGTATTACCTTTCGCTCCTCAGCATGTTTTAGTTTTTCTGCATGTTTTGTCACACTTTGCAAGAAAAGCATGTGATTGATGGTTTGAGCCAACAAAGAATCAATGCTCATCTGTTACATCAACCAAATAGACATTAGCTAACAATTCAAACAGTAATCTTAGCCAATACACCAATAAAAAAGCTGCCTCTGGTATCACTGCATGAAAGAAAATTTGATTTGAGAAAGAGTTTCCAATTTCCAATAATTTCATGATTAAAGTGCCAAATTCATTTGCAGGAAGCCCATCTCAGATGTAGCGATAGAGAGTTTTCAAAATTTTATTTGCCATTACAATGAAGAAAAACAAGTACCTTCATGCCGTTAGGGATGAGTTTCCTCAACTCTGCAATACATTCTTGGATCTGCTGGCGGTCCTTGGGCTTTGGTCGAGACCCAGGTTTGGCACTTTTTTTGGCAACCTTTATAGATCCTTTAGACTTTTTAGGTTGTGATACGACACTGCTTCCACAAGTGAAGCTATAACTGTCACCAATCCATGAACCTCCCTCTGATTTTGGGTTGGCCTCTTTTTTTGGTTCAAGGGTACATGACCTGTCCAGATTATGTATGGGCTGCAATGAGTTCATGTTCTCGCCAAAGTAGGGAGGGCTTGTCGACTGCATTTGATCACCACTAACTGAGCAATTTCCCAATTTTCTTTTACTTTCTGAGGATAATTCATCCTCCAAACCAGAGCTGGCACTGGAATTAGAACTACCACCAATACCATCCAAAAACTTCTGAAGTCCTAATTTGGAGAATAACATTTCCTGGGGGCCAACCATGGAACCAACACGACGCTCTGCAGATGCTTTTTCCTGAAGCATCAGTTGTACTAAAATCCAGGTGGCCACCACTTACTGCTGGGATCAGAATGTCATCCAAAAAATTCTCTGCCTGTCCATGCTCAAAATCTACTCCCAAACCATCAAACATGTCATTTCCAAGACTATAATCATTTAAAAAATTATTGTCTCCATCGGAATTAAATATATTTGTGATGGAACTTTGCATAGAATAAGATGGATGATTTACTGGGATTTTGACAAGAACCTCAGCTCCATTCAGACCTGATGATACTGGTGAAGCTTCCAGAAATCTTGTTTGAGATGGAAGTTGTTGCCCAATTGAAGTCAGAGAAGAGTGTCCACTACTCCATGTACTAATGCAAGGCGATTGCGCAGCCGAGTGATCAAAATAAGTGGTTGACTGTGAAAGTGGCTGCTGTAACCGAAAACTAGACTTATTAGATAACTTGAATGGAATTTCTGCGCTAGCCATTTGCAATTGGTTTCCAAGATGAGATGAGTTCTTCCTTGTATGGTCTGAAGTGAATGGGGATAATCGTGGAAGATCAGTTGAAGAACAAATTGTTCCCATATAATTTTCAGAGCTTGCACCTATAGGTTTCAGCCCAGTAAACGAATTTCCAGATGATATTAAGGAAGCAAACAACCCACTCCGGCCATAAACTTCACCATTTGAAGATGAAGGAATATTTTCTGGTAAAATAAAAGTATTTCCGTTTTCTATCTCTCGAAACAGTCTTCTTGTCTGATCCACAAATTCCATCCTCTCTGGAATCTACAGCAGCAAGAAGCAGTACCGTTAAAAGGAATTCAAATGTAACTGGTTGATCTAATGTCTTATAGTACTAGTCTTCCTTGCCATAATTTTGGAAGGAAATCATGCAATAATAAACAAACCATTTAGCCAAAGACAATTGATATGCACAAGGGACTTTAAAAAACAGTGACTTTTATGCTCTCTGTACAAAAACCAAATTGGTGATCCATGTCAATCAGCATGGAAGTCAGCATACATAGCATTGCTTGTTACCAAAAATGGATTTTACTTGGCAGAAATGGATCATGGGGGTAACACTGGCTGCTGAGACTTGCTCCTTCAAAACAAAGCTAAGAATTTAATACTAGTGCAAATCATGCTGGAGTTCAAAATTGCATAAAGAAGAACAATTGTTGCTCATGTAAACCAAGTACTGACCTTCCGGGTAGAACCAAACTGTACCACCCCACGTGGATCCACAGATATTACAGTAATTGTCTGCAAAATGAGATTAAATGATCATTTCGTATCGCTTGTCCCTTGTATCGTGATGATGACTAGATAAACACAGCGTATCATAAATCTAAAATTCAACTGTGTCAAAAGTGCTCAAGTCACATGCTAGTATCCTTCAAATCACATATGCCCAGCAAACTAAAAGAAGGAAAAGGGTACCTCTATTCCAGAGGCAAATTGGCAATGAATCTCAGAATCATCCTGCAAAAGAAAATGTAACTTCCAAGTAAGTGGACAAAAACATGCCAACATCCTGTTTAACCAACTGATTTTCCTAAGCAGATACGAGGGCAGTTGAACAAAGATGGATAGTTTATTTCAACTTAAAAGGCAGTAAAACAACGAAGACGAAGAAATGGAAGCTACCGATATGTAGTAATCGAGTTGATTACCCAAACACTTCATGATGGAGGGGAAAAAAAAAGGCTACTAAACTAGTTTTCAAGTGAAAAATCAGCAATACCTGGAACATATCCCAATTTTCTGTAGAACCTACGCGATTCTGTCCTCCACAAAGAGCATCTAAGAACATCCATCGGTGTCTCTTAGTGAAAGCAGTTTGGCCAACAACACTACGTGACGAAATAATAACAGGATCAGCCTTATAAAAGAAATCCACCGCAGAAAATTCTTTAGAGAAGCTGAAAATTTTGATACAATTTATAAATTCTATAATGAAAAAAATATACACTACATCAAAGCATACCCGTTGCCGAGCATGTGGACTTGCAGAAGCATATTGTCAATGACAATCCCCATTTTCTCTTCATAATAAGCATCTTCCATAGTCAACAATCTGGTGTTCATATCATTTCAATTAAGCATTAAGAATGAGCCCCAATACAAGAAACCTAAAACCCTTATACATCTAAACCAATCTAGACCTCAAAAGCTTTGAAATTGTATTCACACTCCATATTCATATGCTACTCTTATTGGTCCCTAGAATTCATGTAAACGAAAAAATCACAAGAAACAACATAAATAAGCAATTAAATTCAAAATTCTTACAAATCAAACTAATACAGACACAAATTCTTATGCATAAACATACACTTACAAGGAATTTCGCTGATCAAAGCACCAAAAAACACCATAAGACCATCCGTAATTGCGGCAGAGACTCTTAAGCGCGTTCTGAACCATCGAATCACTTTCCTCTGTTTTCATCTTTGCTAATCAAATTGAGAAATGCAATGTCTTCTCATGAACAAAAACCCAAATCAAGTAACGATTCAACACCCAGAACGTTTCGATAAAAAGCAAAGCAGTTTCCCGAGAGCTAAGATCAAAAGCGCTCTCTGTTCTGCAGAAAGCATTCAAAGAGTGGGTCTGGTTGGCTCAAGTTAGGAAGCTTGAATTGTCAAAATAGAAAAAGCAAAAAAACAGTTGTGTTTTCTAAAGAGAATGAGCGGTCCTGAGCTCTTCTTAAGCTTTTGAACAGTGAAGCATGACGGTTGGATGTCTGAACAGGACACCCAAAAAGCAGTTTTTGCAAAACACTGTGAAACAAGAAAACAAAATAAACAAAGTGATCCTGATCAAGAGAGAAAGAGACACAGGCGATTTAAAGAACGATTAATATATAGATACAGAGCATGTTTATATATGTATATATAGTTGGAGAGAGAGAGAGAGAGAATTGTGGGTGGGGGCAAGTTGGGTTTGCCTTGGCTACAGAGATCTTCGCCATTCATTACTCATTCTCTCTGTCTCTTAGCTATAATCACCTTAATTTTCAATTTTATTTTTATTTTTTTTAAGTCTAAAAACTAGTATGAATAAATACATAAATAAAACATTTTTATATGATTTTTTTTTTTTTGGGGAATGAAAATTGTTTTTAGAAAATTTTAAAATAATAATTTTTGTGTTTGTTTCGGTTATCTAGTTTTTATTTTTAAACAGAGTTTGAAAACGAAATCAAACGTATAGAATAACTTTGTCAAATATTTAATTGGTGATAGCCTGGTTTTTTTAAAAAAAATTTAGTAATAAACTATAACTATTATTTATTTATTCATTTATTTATTAGTTTTTCGTTGAGAAGAAGAGTTTTAGCTTGTTGATTACAAATTTATAACCAATAATAACAATAATTATAAGACTAATGACGGTTGGATGTCTGAACAGGACACCCAAAAAGCAGTTTTTGCAAAACACTGTGAAACAAGAAAACAAAATAAACAAAGTGATCCTGATCAAGAGAGAAAGAGACACAGGCGATTTAAAGAACGATTAATATATAGATACAGAGCATGTTTATATATGTATATATAGTTGGAGAGAGAGAGAGAGAGAGAGAATTGTGGGTGGGGGGGCAAGTTGGGTTTTGCCTTGGCTACAGAGATCTTCGCCATTCATTACTCATTCTCTCTCTGTCTCTTAGCTATAATCACCTTAATTTTCAATTTTATTTTTATTTTTTTTAAGTCTAAAAACTAGTATGAATAAATACATAAATAAAACATTTTTATATGATTTTTTTTTTTTTTGGGAATGAAAATTGTTTTTAGAAAATTTTAAAATAATAATTTTTGTGTTTGTTTGGGTTATCTAGTTTTTATTTTTAAACAAAGTTTGAAAACGAAATCAAACGTATAGAATAACTTTGTCAAATATTTAATTGGTGATAGCCTGGTTTTTTAAAGATTTTTTTAGTAATAAACTATAACTATTATTTATTTATTCATTTATTTATTAGTTTTTCGTTGAGAAGAAGAGTTTTAGCTTGTTGATTACAAATTTATAATCAATAATAACAATAATTATAAGACTATGATAATTGAAGTAATGATAATAACAACACTATTTTCAATTTTGTGTTGCAATTCAGAAAATATAATTTTGTTTCAATCAATTTTTTCTTTTTTTTTTTAACAATATTCGTACATATAAACTTGTTTTGAGAAATAAATTACTGTAAAAGATTACAATAAATTAAATAATGTCACAAATAAAGTAATTAATCCCAACATAATTTTTATGATATTCATTTATGATTTATTTTTATGAATTAACGTATTAAATAACAGAGACCTTTTCTGATGACATTTTAAATATGTGTTTATGTTTTGCATTGGCTGATATTTCAAAATCTTTATTTAGATTTTTTTTTCTTTTGTAAAATTCTAAAGAGGGATTTCTATGGGTTGATCTTTAATTTTCCGACTAAAAGAATTTCATAATACTCAAATAAGATTTCCTAGATATTAATGTGTTAGTAAGCCTATTGAAAGAATTTCATAGTATTCATTTTATTTTTTTTGTCTTATTTTATTTTTTTATATCAAAGTGTCCAAGAGTAAGATCCTAAGGAAACATTAATATGTATTTATCATTGTCTCCTTAAAAAGTAATAATATTAAAACAAAAAACCTTCATATCCATCTATCGTTTTTAAACATTATAATGTGTATATATAGTGACAAAGCTATAAAAGTATTGATGTTGCTTCATTGGAATCATTTATATACTCATCCAATGTTATTCACAACTAGAAATGCTAATAGATACAAAGGTAAGGGAAGTGTCACAAGTATGCACCTTATTTTGATGCATTATTTACAACATGTTAACAAAAGCTAAGCTTGCATGGTTAATATTTTTCCATATCATATATAATCTAATCCATTTTTAAGTCAAGCTTTCTGATTTGTAGTTAATAATAATGAAACCTGATTAGGTGGCATTGCCTAACTTAAAATGCATGCATGTAATTAACTAGATGAAACCTATAAGAAGTTGACATGAAAGCCCAAACTCTAAGCCAAAGATTCATTTCTGTGTAGCCATGTTGTCAAGGTTTTTTTTTTATTATTATTTATTTATTTATAGGAAACACCAAGTCTAGCTCATCTTACTTATGACATGCATTAACAAAATTTTAGTATTTGAAACAGGATTCATTACATCATAAGAATAACTCTTACACTTATGAGTAATATATATATATATATATCTATATAGTAAAGTGAAACTCTTTATAAGATATATGAACTACCATCATTGATGAAAATGATCAGAGTGGTTTAAATTTAAAATGTGTAGCATTATTTTGTAGAGAAGTTGGTAGACAAGTAATAGAACTTTTTTTTAGACGGCAATAAATAATAGAACTTCAATAGTATAAGATCTTCTGTTTTTAAATTCCTCCGTTCGTCTCTCTCAATGCCAATTTAAGTCTTGACTATTCAAATTCAAAGAATAATTGACATCACTAGGCCTCAAATGTAACAAAAGTAATGTTAAAACAATTAAAAAAAATTAGCAGCATTTCTTGACCTCTCTGTATAGTCCAAAATTTACACACTTTTAAACACAAAAATGCTTTCTACTCAATTGATGAACCAAAAAAAAAAAAACAAACAAACAAACAAAAGAAAGAAAGAAAGAAATGTTGAAAATATCTAAAGTCACTTTTAATGGATTCACAACCCCGACTCACTCATGTAGCAACAAAACTCAGGCTCAAGTCAAAATTGACTTGTCATTATCGTGGTCAAATTTTAAAATCATTTTAAGTGGTTTTTTTATTTATTTTTTTTAAATTCTTTTTTGTGGGTGGTTCAAATGATTAAAAGTGGATAAATAACAACTTACCACTAAGTCATCAACTTGTCAAAGAATCAAACATATTCACTGTAGAAACAGTAGAAACAGTGTTATTTGACGACGGCTCTGTAAACCAAACTTTTATGTTGAAAGTGTAGGGTTCCCAAAAGATAGGTATTTATGCAGAATGAACATAACTTGTGAATCAAGTCTTGGGCCACCTACTGTTAAAAATTCTACTATCTTTCCTTTTTATAAGAAGAGAAATATACCATTAATCATAAAGGGTTGTTATTCTTGGATGAGAGAAAAGATTGTATCCCATATTAAGATTGAAAATACTACAAATTATGAAAATGTATTTCGAATTTTATTCTGAAAATGAGTGTGCTGTAGATTTAAAATTAGTGAGATATGGATTATACTCACGATGATTGTAAACGATCAATTTTTTTTTTTTTTTTGGTAGTATTGTTGTATTAAGATAGTGTATGTAACATCTCATCATATGTTTGGAAGGGATTGAAATAGGAATGAGGTTTTAAAAAATAAATAAATAAGAGGAGGGTTTTCTTCCACTCCACTATTATAGGATTGGAAGGCCCAGTTTAGGATAATGTGGGTTTACCTTAAATCTATTATTTATCTTACATCTATGTTTTATTTTGTGAAAATTTTCAGTATTTGCAACAACTCATAGTAAAAACTTTAATTAGGATGGTATTTAAAATAAAATAAAATAAAACACGAAAATCATTTTTTTGTTATAGTGTAATTAGTAGTCTTTTTTTTTTCTTTTTCTTTTTCTTTTTTTTTTTTTGTTTTTTTGTGTGTTAAGAACCCTACATTAATCAAATTTCAATCTATAGTACAGCTCGATGAAAGTTGCCACTCTCGCTGTCAAGCCTAGGCAGAGTATCCAAGGTCTAAAACCCAAAAGTCCGGGGAACACCCATTATTGCTCATAATAGATGTAGAGGAATGTTGTGCACAGCATATATAAAAACATCAATGAGATTATATATATGATATTATTTGGTATAATTTATTGAACTGTTGCAATTTTTTTATTCTAAGAAATTTTGCAAGAATATTACTATAATTTCTCTTATAGTTTATGAGATAAAAATATTTTTAAAAAAATAAAAAAATTGTTTGATTAAAATTTGAGAAATCATATTTTTTCAACTTTTAATTTTAATTATCAATTTAAACTTGAGAAAAATTGCACTAAGGTCTTGTTTGGGAACATGCTATTTTAGTAATTTTTTAATTTTTACGAAACGTAGAAAAATAGATAGAGTGATGTGATAATTTATAATGACTTTTTAACTAAAATATATAGTTGACAAACGAAACCTATATATGATTCAACACCATAATCTCCATAATAGTATGAGAATCTTGACTTAGGTTAGGCAGTGGCCTACTTGCCCACCCCAAATCTCTTCTTTTCTCTTCCTTCTTTTGGATATTGTATATGAGCAGGCCAGGTCTCCATGACTGCACACAACCCTTCCCATTCTCTCATCCTCTCATCCACTACCAACCCTCCTCCCAAACTTTTTTCCAATAAATTTACATATCTATGGACCACTTGTTCTGCTATTTCACAACCAGTTTAGCCCATTTAAAGCATACTTATGTTCATTAAATGATTGAGTAGTGAACCCTTCAATGCAGGTCTTTAAGACACTTTGATTTCGATTTTGTTTGTTTGCTTGTTAGTTAGTATTGGTGGTAATAATAAGGTGTGGCTTTAGGCGCCTTAGCAACCCACCTACTAAACTAATAAATCCAGAATAGAACATAGACTTTGTATAAACAAGCAAAAGTTTATTGAATTTGTTGACTGAACTAATACTATAAACTTAGATTTAATTATACAAAAATTATTCAGAATTATTATCTTTTGATTCATATTTATTTTATATATGAAACCCACAATATACAAATTCAATCATAACCACAAACTCTCATTCAGATAAATAAAGTCTAGATTCATAGACTTATTCTTTTTAAAATAGGAATTGTACCCATATTGTGTTCCATTATGTAACTATTTTTGTATTTTTTGTTATTTACACATGAAATTCACAATACACAAATTCAATCCTAATTATACATTCTCATTCAGATAAATAAGTCTAGATTCATGAATTTATTCTTTTTAAAATAAGAATCGTACTCATATTGTGTTCGATTCAGTAACTCTTTTTTGTATTTTTAAATTGTTATGGTGGGTGGGTGGAAAGAGAGACAGAGGCTCAAGTGATTGCAGACGCAAAGTTACCCCATTAATATTCTCCAACATCACAGCTCTTCATTTTTGGATAACAAAGCTTATAATTTTGTCCCCTGGCAACGACACACGCTTCATCATAGCCGTTGAGAGCGAAGTCAACGGCATCAAAAAAGTTTTGTTTTCAACTTTTGATTCTTTACTGATTGAAAAAGATGACAGTGAAATCTTAAATTATGATCTTGCTTGTTTAGTATATCCTTTTTCTTCTCTTTGATCTCGTACTGCTTTTATAATCTCTAGTTTGAAAACTATAAGAGAACTAAACTTCAACTGTATAAGAATTTAGGGTTCGAACTTTGGCTAATAGTTAAAATTATATTTCTCACTTGTTTATTAAGTCACTTCTAAGTTTAGGCCCATAATTATTTAATATATGTAAAACAAAGAGATTATATATATACCCGAATATCATTACGAGTTTTTAAAAAAAAACTAAATTAAACTTCAAACCATTGAATAAATGTAGATGATATTCCAAGAAAAAGTAAGAGTAAAAGCAAGCAAATGTAATGATAGTATTTATTACGAAGGTGGATTTCTGTTGTTTTGGCAATCACCTAATATAGTGAAAAAGTTAAAAAATTACTATAAAAAAGTCAATAAAAATAGTTAATTTTCAAAACAACCCTAAATTTTTTTCTCATCCTCCTATTGTAATTTATGTAGACAATTATGTGATTTATTGTTGTTTTTGAAATTACAATACACCTAAAAATACATTAATATTATTTTGGAGGAAATATTGGGATGGGGGACCAATTAAGGGGGAAAAGGGAAAGAATAAAAATGATGGGGAAAATAATTATTGATATCCCATCCAGTGAAGTTTACTTGCTACATAGCTAGCAGCGGCACATGTGATTTTGAAGCTTTACATTACATGTTTTCATGACTTGATCAAAAGGGTGTTCCAAGTTTTCACCAGGTCCTCGGGAACAATTAACAATATCAATTAATATAATGACAAAAATAATGATGCGTCATCAGTAACTTTATATAATATATATATATATATATTGTAAATTATTTTTAAAAACTTATTTAAGGAAAATGCTTTGTTTACAAATTTTTCTTATAATATGTGGCATGAAGATGTGGAATGCAAGATTGTACTAGTCTACCAATATCATAGGCGACACATCAATTTGTTATGAAAGTTTATTTGTTTAACATTATTCATCATTTAAATGCATTACTGAACTTCATTTTTGTTGGGTGTTTTGGAAGCAAGGATGTGTTTAAACTACCAACAAATCAATCTAGAACACACAAAATCAGATTTTATTTTTTCCTGCAGAAAATTGTGAAGAAGAGCAAAGCAGGGGAGAAAAGGGGTCAACCTTGAACAGCCCCTTGAGCAGATTTTTTATTGCCTTTTTAGCTTCCCTTACAAGCTTTGTATATGAAATTATATCAACCCAAGTACCAATAAAACATCTAAACAAATTTCCCCCACATACATTAACTCTAATTAACAAAACCCAACCCAAAACATAGCTAGAATTAAATAAGCACAAGTGATTGTTTGGATACAAAATTAAACAAGCACATTACATCAACATTGCTCCCCCCTAATGTGCTGCTCCATAACTCCAAGTAACTCTTTGAAATGCTAGAATTTTTCTTTGGGAAGAGCCTTAGTGAATATACCTGCAATTTGTTCATCTGTCCTGCAGAATTTAAGCTGCACTTCGCCTTCTTCAATTGCTTCTCGAATAAAATGATGTTTAATTCCAATATGACGAGTGCGACTATGAAAAATAGGATTCTTAGCCATGGCAATTGCTAATTTGTTGTCACAAAAAATTTATGTACCATCTTCTTGCTTTTCACAAACATATTCTGCTATCAACCAAATTGCTTGGGAAGTTGCCAAACCCACTTAAACGTATTCAGCTTCTGCAGATGATTGCGCCACACTGTTGCTTCTTTGATGCCTAAGAAAATACTCCAGAACCCAAGGAAAATGCATACCCAGAGGTGCTTTTCATATCATCAGTGCAGCCACCCCAATCACTATCACAAAAACCAAACAATTTCACAATTGAATCTTTGCAATACTTGATACCATAACTGGTTGTGCCTCGAATATATCTCAAAACTCGTTTTGTAACACCAATATGATTTTGGCTGGGATTATTCATAAATCTAGAAAGCAAACTTCCAGTATACGTTATATCTGGCCTTGTAGTTGTAAGATACAACAAATTTCCAACCAAACTTCTATACAATGAACCATCGGCTTTTTTCTCTCCTCTTCCTTTGTAAGTTTTTTATTCACAACTAGTTGTGTGGCCATGGGCTTACAACCACTCATACCAAATTTCATTAAAATATTTTCAGCATATTTCTTTTGAGAAATAAATACTCTATCTTCTACTTGATAGATTTCAATTCCAAGAAAATGATTCAACAAACTCATGTCACTCATTTTATATCTTCCTATCATGTCATTTCTAAATTCTTCAATCATTATCTCATCATTACCGAAAACTAACAAACCATCAACATATAAGGCAACAATAAGAATTGACATACCTTGATTTTTCACATATAAGGTTAGCTCACTCTTGCTCTTCTTGAAACCCGTGTTGATGAAATAGAACTCAATTTGGCTATACCATGCTCTTGGAGCTTGCTTTAGTCCATACAATGCTTTCTTCAATTTATACACCTTGTCTTCATCTCCTTTCATTAGAAACCCTTGGGTTTGTTCAACATATACTTCCTCTTTTAATTTTCCATTTAAAAACACAGATTTAACATCAAGTTGATACAATGACCAACCTTTTTGGGCTACTAATGCAATGAAAGCTCGAACGGTGTCAAGTCGTGCAACCAGCGCAAATGTTTCTTGAAAATCGATTCCAGGTTGTTGTGTGTACCCTTTTGCGACCAGCCTTGCCTTGTTTCTTTGGAGTGAACCATCCGAATTCAACTTTATTACTTTATAAATCCACTTCACCCTAATGATTTCCTAGCCTTGTGGTCTTGTAACCAATTCCCATGTGTTGTTCTTTTCAATGACTTCAATTTCTTCTTCCATTGCTTTCTTCCAAGCTTCCTCTTTAATTGCTTCTTCAAAACTTTCAGGTTCCGCTACACAAAAATTGCATTTAGCATACACATCACTCCAGCTCCTGTAAGGCTTGAGCATTTTGTAACAAATTTATTAAATAAAAATTATCTTTTTCTTGAAGAGTTATTCTAATTTAATGCATAAGATATAGAAGTTTGGCACACTTTAAATTAATCATTGTTTAGAGACCTTGATTAAACTAAATCCTAATTAACACTAATCCTCGCAATTAGATTAAGGAAGCTTCTAAAAGTAATCTAGAATTTTTTCCTCACTTGATTGTCTTATTCATGAGTGTGTATATAAAAATAAAAATAAAAAAATAAGGAAATAGAAGGCTGGCTAAGTCAACTCTCACGGGGAATGATTGATTTTGTCTTATATGAAGATTTATCTCAAAAGTGCAGCCCTCTTAGCATACTTAACCAGTCTTTTTCTTACCTTTGAGTGAAAAGATGGGTTGTCATAAATGTGCTTGTTGGGTAGACAACCTCTCAATAGCCATACATGCATGGATTCTTTTACCAAATATTTTCTCCAAACTCTCCCTCTCATTTTAGTCTATATATGAAACACAAGCTCACCTAACTCCCCACTGACAATTTTCAGCTAGAGCTAGAGAGTGGAGAGGGAGAGAAAGAAAAGAGGGAAATGAGAGAAAGAGAGGAATGAAGAAGAAAGATGACTCATCACTTGAAAGGTTTTCAAAGTTTCACTAAGGTATGATACTTAGAAATACTCCACTTCTTTAAGTTTTGGAAAAAAATGTATGCAAAACAATTTGATATGTCTTATAACACATGAAGGAAACAAGAACAAACTCAATAAGAGAGATCTCTCTTGCATACCTTAGATGAACTCACTTTTCTTATTTCTTGTTATTATTTTTATATTCGCTTTGCTCTATTGTCATAACCTATAGTACTTCTTGAATGCAAGAAAAATACCTCTCCATAAATAATGTAGCCTAGCATGCCTAAATAGGGAACTAAGGAAGACAACCCATTGCTCATTCGAACAAAAACTGCACTGTGCAGAATCTGTTTTCTCTTCAAAACCATGAAATAAATCCCTTATTTATTATTTTGAAAATCTGAAGCTACTAGAATTATTTTAGGGTTTTATTTATATGTGAGAATTCTGCAAAAATTATTTGACACTATTTTAGAGCCAAAAATATGCTTTATGTTCACCTTTACTGCTAAAACAGCAGTAGGGCCTACTTTACATGGCCACGGTTTCTTCTATAGAATGAAATTTTGAGTGATTCAAATTGGCAATGTGAGGCTTTTAAGTTATCTTTCCAATGCCACAAGTTTTAACTCATTTCATAAAGTATGGGGTGAGATATGTCTGTTTTTCAAAAACGCGACAAATCTGGAGCTACCTATTGTTTTTAATTTATTTGGACATCTTCTAGTGGCCAAATAACTTCGAGCCCTCTTCAAAAATGTTCCTAACTTAATAATCTATAACTCCACCAAAAATCAAAATTCTTAAATATCAATTACTAACATTTCTATATTTTTATTTGAGGGGACAATTTGCTGGAAATCGTTCAAAATCTAGAATTAAGTTAGTGATGGCTTAACACCTTTTTGAATTGCCTCGTGCTTACATATTTTGTCTTGCATGCACTTAAATATGCTTGATCAGTTGGAAGGGATCATGATATGTGTATTTTCATCAAGAGTTACTATAACCATAATATGGGAAAAATGAAATAGGTGGTTTTGGACCATGCGCATGCAGATGAATACAAGGAAAAGGTATATTGATGTTTTGTTGGTGCAGGGTGCGCCCTGGTTCTAAGGAAATGTGATTATTTAGCTTGCGAAGCCTTGACATGGCCCGTATTGTATTTTGACCTCACGGATTTGGTTTTGGAATAAGGGTGGTAGTGAGGGTCTCACATAGAGGGAGTACCTCTGGAAGGCCAGTTCTATTGAGATGAACCACTAATGATACGCCCTGAGTATTTAACTTAGCATGTAGCATCTTTAGATCCAGTGCCTTGGGATCAAGATGAGGTGCAGAATAGTCCCTGGCTAAGGTCAATGGTTGGGTAGGACGGCACTCCACGGGAAGTCACCGTAGGCTCACCGAATTTACAATTAAATGAGATTACGTTATGAACTCTATGATAACCTAACATTTGCATTGTGAATATATTCATGATGGATCATGCCTATATATGTATGTGTGTGTGTGTGTGTTGTTTTCACTGCGCTATTATCTTTTTCGTGATGATTGTATATTTTTAAATATTGTTAATTAACTCCACTGTGTTTTTATTGCATAAGTTTTCAAATTGTAAGAAGTGGCTAGTTTCTTTTTTTTTTGGTTTCTTGTATCTTATTGGGCTTTGTAGCTCACAGCGTTTAATGCCAGGTGAAGAAGAAAGAGAAAATCCTGGGGAAGATTTTGTCGAAGATGTCGAAGTTCAACCATGGTTCACTTAGAACCGTCTTAGCCTGGCCATTAAGGCCTGTCTTGCCCACCCTCTTATCTATTTTGATGAAATTTTATGTATTAACGTAAAAATGTCTAGAGATTGGTGTAAGAAATCAAACATTTGGGGTTGTATTAAGATTAAGCTTTGGAACGTACTTCTTTAACTGTTATATCGGAACTTAATACTTAACCTTGTTGAATTATTTATATTAATATATGATGCCCAGAAGTGGGGGTGTCACAACTCGTCATTTTTTTGGAGTTGAGCTAAGTGAGGATGAATTAGTATTTGAGCTTGAACTTGGAGAAGAGCTGGAAGATGATGATGAACCTGCACTTGGTGAGGATTGATGTGAATCTTCATTATTTTCATCGTCATGTGTTGAATTTTCTTGCTTCTCATCAACTATGACAGATTGCTTGTCAATTTTACCTTATTCCTAATTCCATGAAGCATTCTCATCAAATAACACATCCCGACTGATTATTATTTGATTTTTCTTCAAGCTATACAATTGATAACCCTTGGATTTGCTGTTATATCCCACAAAGATACATTTCTCACTTGTTTCATCTAATTTGCTTCTTCTTTCCTTTGGAATTTGATTATAGCAAACACATCCAAATACTTTGAGATGTTTTACTGATGGCTTTCTCACATTCCAAGCTTTTATGGGAGTTTCATTCCAAACGGCTTTGGTAAGACACCTATTTATCGAGTACACTGTTATGTAAACAGCTTTAGCCCAAAATTTCTTTGATAGCCATTTTTCATGCATTATAGATTTGGCTATTTCCATCACCATTTGATTGTTTCTTTTGGATACTCCATTTTGTTGTGGAGTATAACCCATTGTTATTTGCCTTTCTGCACCTTCATCTTCATAAAATTTGTCAAACTCCTTAGAATTATATTCTTTGCCATTATCACTTCTCAAAGTCTTTATGTAGTGTCCACTTTGTTTTTCCACCATGCTCTTGAATCTCTTGAAAATAGTGAACACTTTAGATCTTTCCTTCATGAAATATACTCATGTCATCCTTGTATAGTCATCAATAAAAAGAATAAAGTACTTGTTTTAGGCATGGGAAGGCGTTTTGATTGGCCACAAACATCCGTATGAACTAACTCTAACATTTCTTTGGCTCTCCAAGCAACTCCTTTAGGAAAAGCTTGTCGATGATGCTTCCCAAGTGCACACCCCTCACAAACATCATGTATTTCTTCAACACTTGGAAGTCCTTGGACCATATTCTTTTGGTGAGGCACTTTGAGATTATGAAAATTAAAATGCTCAAGTCTTCTATGCCACAACCATGACTCATCATTCATATGAGCTTTCAATGCAACATTTCTAGCATAGTTGAATGTGAGTAAGAAGTTTCGATTTTTCTCTATTTGAATTTTTGCCACTACTTGCGTTGCATTTCTATCGTGAATGGTGCAGTTGTTTGCTTCAAAATGGACTACATATCCATGTTCCACAAGTTGTCTAACACTTAGTAGATTTTGCTCCAAGTCTGGAACAAGCAACATATCATGAATAAACTTAGTCGCCTTTTTTGTTTCAACTCTTATGGTTCCTTTTCCCTTTGTATTTACTAACACTCCATTTCCCATTTTAACTTGAGAGCAAATTGAAGTGTCCATGTACAAGAAAATAGACTTATTAGTTGTCATATGGTTGCTACACCCACTACCAAGGTACCAAACATTATTTTTGTGTTCTTAGATTGCTTGACAAGCATAAAATAAGTTTTCTTCTCTATTTTTCTCCTTTGAAAAATTAGCTTGTTAATTGCTTTTGACTTTGCAATCCTTTTGGGGGTGGCCAAAATTCTTGTATTTATAACATTGTGGTTTCCCTCGGAACCAACAATCCTTGTCTAGATGATTTCCCCTTTCACAAATTCTGCACTTTCTTGTATTTTCTTCCACTCTTGATGTCACAACCTAAACCTGCCCCTGTAGGTTTAGTGTTGTAACCAGCTAGTAATCCTAGGATTACCAAAGGCTTTTGAACAAATTAAACAAAATACAGGGGCTAACAAAAGCAAAATACAAATAAGCAATGTCCATTGAGCTGTGCAGACATATATGGGACAAAAAAAATTTAAACTTTATATACATATATATACACATCATCAAATATATAGACTAGACAAAAAGGAACTTAGCCCTAAATACAGAATAAACAAAAACTTAAACTTTATTTACATAGCTTTAACCACATTGAAACACAATATCACTTCCTTGATCAAACTTGACTTCTCTTGTTTTTTTCTGTCTGAGTAATCCGAAATTCTACTACGCGTATTCTTTCTTATAAAATGAATCAGGTTCTTATTTCACATATTCTTTCATTACCAAATCCCTCTTTTCCAAATAGACTGATTTCTTACTTGACTTCTTAATCAATTATTACTAAATTAGTGATTTATTCCTTAACCAACTAATTTATATTAATTGTTAGTTTATTAAACTTGTTGAGTCATAAATTATGTCTAGAATGTTTTGGGAGGAGATGTGATGAAAATATAAACAAAGTGTGATTTTTCAAAACATGCTTAAAATAACCTGATCGCTTGAGCCACCACTTGGTCACTCAAGTGAACTGTGTTATCTGCAAAAATATTGGACGAGTCAAAAGTACGCTCGAGCCAACATTTAGTCGCTCGAGCAACTAGCAAACAAAAGGTGGGTTCGCTTGAGCAACCAAGTGGTCGCTCGAGTGGTCTGTAAATTTTTTCTAGATTCCAAAACTGAAGTTGAGCTTCCAACCTCTGTTCCAAGACTTGGAGTCTTGCTTGAAAACATGAAATATTTTGGAAAATACCAATACATGACCCTTTAGAAATCAATTTCCCAAAACTCAACAAAATTGTCAAAACTTGAATTATTTGTTCATTCATACAAAGATTTTAAATTCTTTTTCTCTTGATGTTCAAAACATGACATTAAAGCTATAAATCTCTTAGAAAAATAATTGCATGTATGGAATTTAAATCAAATCACACCAATTCTTGATTCTCGAAGTAAAATTATAATTCATTTCTTAATTTGTCAAAACTTAGATTTAATTCATTTTCTTTATAGCAAAATCAATTTCTTAGAATTTGAACTTAACTCCATATTTAACCAAATACTTAATTTATGATCATAAATGTTTCAAAATATATTTAAATTGAATAACACTTTTAAATTAGATTACATGCATGGATTGAAATCTCAAAATTAAACCAATTTCCAAATTTCATAATAAAATCACAACCTTATCTAATTTTAAGATTAACTCCAAATTTTTATGAACTTGATGTTTATAAAACTTTTTCCTTCTTCTCTTTAAAATATGAAATTGATTGACTCAAATACTTTCAAAACTAATGATGAATGCAAATACACATCTCATATATATATATATATCAAGGTTCCCAAACCCAAACTCAATACAATTATTTTCATGTTTATTAACCTTAACCATCTTCATAATTAATTCTTCAATCTCTCCAAATTACATGCATTTGATTCTAGTTCTTTCTTGAATTTATGTGATGGGTGACTTCTTTACAAAAATTAAGGGTGAAATGCTTACCTAGAGCTCGAATTCTTGAGTTCCTTGATGAGTTCTTGAGTTTCTCCCTTCAATTTCTTGAGATTCATGGACTCTCTCTCTCTTTCTCTCTCGGCTTTCTCTCTTTCTTCCTCTATATTTTTGACCCTGAAGCTCTAGCACATATATCACACACACACACACTTCTCTAGATTCATCTACACTTTTCTTTGATTAATAAATGAATAGAATTAGCTTAGTGGCTAATTATGTATTAACTCAATTAAACCCACTTAGTCTTAACTAATTACAAGCAACACTTGATTTAATTAATCTCATTAAACCCAATCATTCCAAATTTATTCTTACCTCACTTAGTCCTATTTAATCTTGATTAGCACATAATTAATTTACTCTTAACTAATCACAAATTCCACATGATGTAATTAATCTAATTTGACTTCCATTAAAGCTCAATTAATTATATTTAAATTTATCAACCTGAATCAGATTTTTAGTCAAACTTCCAAAAGTATCCAAATATCAAATTAAACTTATTTCCATCATCATTTTTGGTTCCTCAAATCATTAATGCCTTCGATTTTAGATCAAACTTAAAATCTCCGTCAATAAATTACATATCCAAAATTGGACCCTCATAAGTAAATTTAATTCATAATAATATTAAATTGAACCCAATTAATTCATAATAATCTTAATTCCCAATTCGTATAACTTAATTAATTCTAATTCGAACCCAATTAATCAAATCTCTATTTACAAAACTAAATCGAATATTTAATTTAAACTCCCATATGACCCGATACTTGAAATTAAAATAATTTAATTTACCAATTACACTCTATTGAGCCGTCTAAGCTTTCAATTTCCAATTCCAAATTAAATCCTTAATAAATTGATATACAAATCAATTTCCATAATTTTCATAAATCCCAAATTAAATCAGCATAATGAACAATTAAAATTCAGATCTCTTTAATTAATTAAATGCTAATTATTATACGTGATGGGGTCGTCACACTTGAACTTCTATCAATGTTGTTTCTACCTCTTCCCCTTGATAAATTTCTTCCTCTACCTCTTCATTTTCCTTGTCTACCACCTCTTGATGATTCCCCTCTTATTTGTTCATTATTTGATAATTCTCCATGACTTTCAGAATTCAAATTAACTTTTTATTGGAATGCACTCTCCAGAGGCTTCTCTGATTGTTTTGACAACCTTTGTTCATGAGCTTTCAAGGAATCCATCAATTCTTGGACACTCATTTTAGAGATATCTTTTTGTTTCTTCAATTATTCCCACGATTGTGTTATATTTTTCTAGTAAACTAACCAGAATTTTCTCAACAATTCTCTTTTGTTCAACTCTTTCACCATATGATTTCATTTGATTGACAATCTTCATCAATTTAGAGAAATAATCAGTTAAAGTTTCAAATTCTTTCATCTTCAAATATTCTAACTCCCTTCTAAGAGTTTGGAGTTTGATGATTCTTACCTTTATGTCTCTTTGAAATTCTTGTTGTAACATGTCCTATACTTTCTTTGATTTCTTAGCTTCAATGATTCTTGGAAACAACTCATTAGAGAGTGCTTGTTGGATGAAGAAGAGTGCTTTAGCATCTTTTTTTTTTAGTTTCCTTTAGCTTCTGCTTTTGTATTGAAGTTAATATAGTTGTTGAATCAGGTTCATTATACCCATTTTGTACCAAGTTCCATAAACCTTGGGACTGGAATAAGGTCTTCATCCTCACACACCAATAATCATACTTCCCTCTAGCAAAAATGGGAATAGATGGTTGTTGGATACCTATTCTTTGGTTGCTTAAGTTAGCCATGGAGATTTTACGCAAAACCCACTTTTCTTCTTCACACACCTAATATTTTTAGCCATCTTTTTCAAATCCAAGCTTCCACTTCGAATTAGGCTCTGATACCACTTTATGTTGGGTGTTTTGGAAGCAAGTATATGTTTAAACTACAAAGAAATCAATCTAAAACACACAAAATCAGCTCTGATTTTTTCCTGCAGAAAATTGTAAAGAAGAAGAGCAAAACAGGGAAGAAGAGGGGTCACCCTTGAATAGGCGTCCGGATCCTCTAGAGTGATCCTCTGAAGTGATCCTCTAGAGTGATTCTTTATGGCATGACACGTATCCCATTAATGGAACTAATGGTTGAGATGATGTTTTTCCAAAACGACGTTGTTTTGGTGGCCAGACTCAAAAAAAAAAAAAAGAAATTTTTTTTGCAGAGTTTGCAAATCGAGAGGGAGAGGAGGAGAGAGAGCTAAGGAAGAAGAAGGAAGCCGTCACCGCCCTGCCGGACGCCGCGGATTCATATTGGCTACAACTTTTATCTTGATTTTGTGGCTTTGGTGTTTTTTGTTTGTCCTCACAGAGAATCATTCCCAAATTTTTCATGTTCAAAGAGGTTTACACTTCAGATTTGATCTGGGTTTTCTTTCTTGAATCCAAAAAAATGTTTGTTTGAGTCAGATTTAACAGAGTTTTGCTTTGATTTGCTTTCTATGGCATAGATTACTGGTGAAACAGTAGAAGAGAGTTGTAGATCAATGTTGATTTTCATTAATTGTACGTGGATTTCAATTTCAATCCTATCTCATTTTTCAATTATTTTATTTTTTGGGTGAATAAATTTGTCAATTTCTATTTTTTCATTGTTGTTCGTTTTTTTGCTGTGTTGGGTTAATGGGTTTGATCTCTCAGGAAGCTCATCGCCATGGACGACAGCATCTACAAATGGCAGATGTGATAAACAACTATCACAAGAACCTATATCCACTTAATTTGTTCATTGATGAGTAAGAAAAAAACCATTATCAAGCTGTTCAATAAATTGTATAAAAAAATTAAAATGTAATCGACGAGAAGACTAGTATTACAAAATGTTACAAGCATATTGTACAATCTTAATTGCATCAAGAACTAGTTTCTAATGCATCTTGATTTGTACAGAGAGAGAGAGAGAGAAAGAGAGAGAGAGAGAGTCCAATGTTCAGCAACAAATAGAAGAGAACTTTTTGCTTCTCATGCTTGATAATATGTTAGAATGAGCCAGTGATGGCAATCTTTCAGTGATGGGGGATGGAAAACAAGAGTCTTGGGGGAACCCATTGCTCTATCTAGACTCCAAGAACACCAGAAACAGACACAGAAGCCCAGTCACTGAGATTGCAAAAGATAGATACAACTCTGTAGAGAAACTAGGCACCACCACCATTCTTTTAGCTTCAAACTGTGATCCACGGCGGTGGAGGGGCGTCAGGAGGCAGTGTTGTCTCTCTCTTCTTCTTCTTCTCTCTTTTTCTATATCTGTTCCGTGTATAGGAAGTTGAAATATGGAATTTTTTATTTAAATTTTTTTTTTTTCAAATTACTCTCCAAAATGGCGTCGTTTTGGAGAGGCTGAATCCCAACCATTAATTCTATTAATGGGACACGTGTCATGCTATAAATAATCACTCTAGAGGATCACTCTAGAGGATCCAGACGCCTTGAATAGCCCCTTGAACAGATTTTTTATTGCCTTTTTAGCTTCCCTTACAAGTTTTGTATATGAAATTATTTCAACCCAAGTACCAATAAAACATCTGGACAAATTTTCCCCATATACATTAACTCTAATTAACAAAATCCAACCCAAAACATAAACTAGAATTAAATAAACATAAGTGATTGTTTGGATACAAAATTAAATAAGCACATTACATCAACAATTTTAAATTTCAAAATTTTACTAATATATAACTTATTAGTTTGTAAAAAAAATTTGTTTGTATAGTATTTTCTATTCAATAATATGGTTTTGGCTAAAACTTGACTAGAAAACATTTATCTTTTTTTATTTTGGTTTTTTGTTTGGTACAAGTTAAAATGTTAACAAGCTAATAATTAGATTACAACGTAAACTGATATTTCTTTATAAATTCGAACTCTAAGTACTCTCTCAGGATCACTTGGACTACATCTAAAGTCAAAAAACACATAAAACTTCTTGTTTCTAAAATTTATTTGAGAATTTAAAAAAAAAATACAACTCACTTTTGTAGAAACATTTCCAATCCAAAAAAACAAAAACAAAAAAACATCAAAAAGCCTTGTGGGAAAACAACCGCGGGCTCTGTGGGCCATCCAAAAGCATATTTGTGAGCTCTATTCAGGGCTCCAAAGGTCCTTCTGATCAATAAGCTCACAAGCCCCACTGTCAAGGGCTCACATCATTGAGAACTTGAGATTAACAAAACCCACAACTTCAATTAATAAAAATTAGAATTTTGTCAACAATTAATACTGGTTAACTATTTTAAAATAATTATACATTTTTTTAAGATAAAATATGCCATAAAATAATGTGGCTTAGATCATCACCTTCTAATCTCTCTTTCCTTTCCACATTTTTCTTTATTTGTTTCTCATATAAGTGGCAATGAATTAGTATTAATATTGACGTGGCCATTCTAATATCTTTTGTTATTTTTAAGATTAACTATTTAGTAGGTTTAAAACTAGAATTTTAAAATTTTTAAGGCAGACCTCATCAAAATCATTTAATTGACTTAACAGCACATCAACATAGGAGTTAAAAGCATAATGCAATTTGAAACTTGATGCGGATACATAATTTTAAAAAGGTTGGGTTTTTTTTAGTCTGTGATCGGATTGGAGAGGTATTGTTGGGTCTATAGAGATTCATTACGGGTCTCATTTCGATAATCTGAATTATTCGTCTAGTACTATATGTCTGTAAAAAATCACGTTGATCGGATATAGATAGCTATCTCATCCGATCATATTTCTGTCAATCGTTTATTTTTTCACCGTCTATTTGTTTTATACAAAATTAATTTGATCATATAGTTATTGATATCTGATCAATGTAATGTTTTATAAGCACATACTACTCAACAATTTTTACATATTGAACGGTTAGATTATCGAAACGGGACTCATAATGAACCCTCACGGGTTCAATAGTACTCTTCAACTTCTTTTTAGAACACAAGGAAGTCAAAAAATAATGTTCATAAACCTCATGGTGCTAATTGCAATTTACTAAAAATCAAATCTGGTTCTCTTTCATTGGCCATTTCGGTAGTAACATTCAACATTCAACACCACCATCTGTCTGCAACAACCACACCACACCCAGCGACAGATTAAAAATCAAAAGAGAGAGAAGATACATATAACATATATATATATATATAGAGAGAGAGACACACACACGCACACACATATAGAAAAATGGCGAATTTGTATGTGAAAGCTGTGCCACCGACGGATCTGAACAGGAACACCGAATGGTTCACGTACCCTGGGGTGTGGACGACCTACATACTCATCCTCTTCTTCTCATGGCTCGTCGTCCACTCCGTCTTCGGTTGCTCCCCTGGCATGGCCTGGACCATCGTCCATCTCTGTCATTTTCTCGTAAGCTCCTTCTCTCTCTCTCTCGCTCTCTCTCTCTCTCTAGGGTTTGCTTGAATGTTTTGTTTGCTAATTGATACTTGATTGCTTGATCTGATTTATTAGTTGTTATTCATTGTTTGTATGATCGCGAGGTTTGATGTAGTTATCCCTGTATTCGGTAATGGTGGATTGTGTTTCTTGGATTTTGAAATTGGCAATTATGGATTTAGGTGAGCTGAAATAGGAATTTCGTGCTACAGATGAAGTAATTTGCAGTTAGGGTTGGGGGAGAATTAGTTAAGAGATGAATTGGAATTCACTGATCATGTTTATTTATTTATATGATGATAGCAGTTTTGCAATTTGGCATTGTTGAATTCGATCTCTCTGTTTTTCTCTCATGCACTCGAATATATGCTCGTATATATCTACCCTTATCCAAAGAGGAAATAAGATAAAATAAAAGAGTTCAGCTCATGTTAGAGTTCGAAAAGGTCTTCCTATGTAGTTTTTGTTTAAGCAAGAGAATTGACTTGAAGGCCTGTTGTAGGACATGTTTGGATTAGTGATCTGCACAAACAATAACTATTTATAAATGTGGTTAGATCAGAATATTTTGGCAATTATGTGATGAACTAATCAATGTTCTATGGATACCAATTGGTGTCAAGTACAAACTTCTTATACTTCTAAATCAGCACTATTTTATAAATATCTCCGTGAACATTCATGATTTTGATTATATTAATGCACTCTGTAAGGGTGTCTGTGCACTTATGCTCTCATATTTCACTAACATTAACAGCTGTTTTCGTTTAGGTTACGTATCAATTCTTTCATTGGAAGAAGGGGACACCATTTGCTGAGGACCAGGGTATCTACAATAGGTTGACTTGGTGGGAGCAAATAGATAGTGGGAAGCAGCTAACTCGCAATAGAAAGTTTCTCACTGTTGTACCTGTGGTCCTGTAAGTAATTTTCCATGCCAGAAGCCTTTTAAAGTTGGATATTGAAATTAAATAGGTGACAAAATCTTTGTTAGCAGTAGTCCTTTGGTAAATTCATATTGGTTGGGAAGATGGACATACGTTTTAGCAATCTTTACCTGGCTTCTTAGATGGATGGTGAAACAATCTTCTTCTGCCTTTTAAGATGGGCATTGAAACTAAACCAAACCAAATCAAATCAAATCAAACTAAGCCTTATGTCTCATCAAATGGAGTCAGCTGCATGAATTATTCTTCTCCACTCGACTCTATCCAAGCCATTTCGTTAGTCAAATTAAGGAGATTCATATCTCTATTTACTATACTAGTCCACGTTAATTTAGATATACTTCTTTTCCTAACATTACCATCTACCGTTAGTGTATCACATCTCTTCATTACTGCCTCTGTTGGTCTCCGTTGTATATGACCAAATCATTTCAATCTATTCTCTCTCAACTTATCATCTATCGGTACTACTCCTACCCATTCTCGATTATACTCATTCATAACTGTCTTTTCTAGTCTTGCTACACATCTACGTTAGCATCCTTATCTCATCAATACTCATCTTATCTACATGTTATTTCTTAGTTGCCTAACATTCCGTCCCATATAACATCGTTGGTCTAATAGCCGTTCTATATATCTTTTCTTTTAGTCTAATGGGTACTCGTTTATCGCATAGCACTCCAAACGCACTCATCTACTTAAACCACCCCGCCTTAATTCTGTGGACCACATCTGCTCGAATCTCCCCAGTCGTTGTGATAATCGATTCTAAATAACGAAAATATTTACTCTTAGGTAGTTTTTGATTTTTAATTTTTACTTCTCCTTTGCTTCCATTGTGACTATTACTAAAATTATACTCCATATACTCTGTCTTAGTTCTGCTTATCCTAAATCCTTTAGATTCAAGTGTTTTTTTTCAAATTTTCAACTTAGTATTAACTCCTTCTCTAATCTCATCTACTAACATGATATCATCTGTAAAAAACATGCACCATGGCACATCATCCTGAATATTGCGCATCAACTCATCCATAACTAAAGCGAAAAGGTAAGAATTTAAGGTTGATCTTTGGTGTAACCCTACAGTAATTGGAAATTCATTTGTCTCTCTAGCAGGCGATTTAATAGTGGTCACCACACCTTCATACATATTCCTAATCACATCAATATAACCTTTTGTTACCATTTTCTTCTCTAACACCCACTAGATTATATCCCGAAGTACTCCATCATATACTTTCTCAAGATCAATAAAAACCATATGAATGTCTCTTATCTTTTTTGTATACTTTTTTGTTACTCTCCTCAAAAGATAGATCGCTTCTATAGTTGACCTACCAGGAATAAACTCAAATTGATTCTCTGACACCTCTGTTATATCTCGCAATGACGTTCCATCGCTCTCTCCCACACTTTTATTGTGTGACACATTAACTTGATTCCTTTATACTTGTTATAATTCTAGATATCTCATTTATTCTTATATATTGATACTAAAATACTCTTTCTCCACTTTTCTGGTATTTTCCTAGTTAATAAAATCCTATTAAATAACCTAGTCAACCAAACAACTCCCTTCTTACCCAAACATTTCCACGCTTTAATAGGTATATCATCGGGTCCTAAAGCTTTATTCAATTTTATCTTCTTAAGTGCAAACTCCACTTCAAAATCCTTAATCCTACGATAAAAACTATAGTCCTAATTTTCCTTATTATTGCCCACTTCCTCCCCTTTTGACCTATATCCATGTTCCTCATTTAACAACTTCTCAAAATAATTTTTCCACCTCTCCTTAATCTCTTCATCCTTTACCAACACTTATGAAGTACAGACACAGACACGTGACGTGACACGGATATGCGGACACAAATTTTCAAAAAATGGGAGTCACGACATGCGGGGGACACGTTTAATATGTATAATTAAATTTATTTATTACATGTCATAAAATTATTAAAAGGTAATAAAAAATACAAAATAATACTATTAATAAAAATTTGTTCCTATAATAAAATTAATAAATATATATCATTAAAATTAACAAAAACTAATTTGTTCTTATAAAGTAATCAGCCAAAAAAAAAAAAAAGAATATAAATAAGTAACAGATAGAGACAAAAAAGTCAAAATAAAAAATATATATATAAAAAATAAAAATCGCAGAGAGAGCCATTTAGCATAAAAAGAAGAAAAAAAAAATGAAGACAAATTGAGGGTGTGTTTGGTTTGGTTTTGGGAGATAAATTTTTAAAAAAAAATTTGAGGAAAGAGTTTAGAAATTTTTTTGATTTGTTTGGTTGTATATTTTGAAAATAGTTTTGGAGTATGAGAGTTTGGAATGATTTGATATTTTATTGTACTTGAGTAGATATGTGTAAGAGAAAAAGTGATTGAGAAGGAGAGAGGAAAGAGAAAAAGTGATTGATTGATTGATGTGTAAGAGAGAGAAAGTGATTTTGGAATTTTTTTTTTCCAAAATCACTAAACCAAACAAAATTTTATCCAAAATTTGTTTCTCAAAAACAAACCAAACAAGACGTGAGAGACTGAGAGAGAGAGAGAGCGCGCGATAGAGGGAGAAATAGAGAGTGCGACTAATAGAGAGTGCGAGAGAGAGAGAGAGAGAGAGAGTAGTTGAACGAAGAAAAAGATTGAAAGAAGAAGAAAGAGAGAGCGACTGAGAGACAGAGAGCGACTGAGAGAGAGAGAGAGAGAGAGATCAAAACGCAGAAGAAGAAGAAGAAGAAGAAGAAGAAGAAGAAGAAGAAGAAGATCGAAAGAAAAAGAAGATGATCGAAGAACATACCTTTGCAAGAGCAATGAGTAGCGAGCAGTCTTCTCTCAACCTCTTCTCCTCTTTCTGTTTGACATCTGGGTTAGGGCTTGGTTTATTTGCTTCAATTTTTATTTTTTTACAAATTGACCCCCAATTGAAGTTTCAGAAATAATGTTTTTGGCCCCGCGATGTCCGAAATGTGCCCATAACGTGTCCATAGCCTGTCCGGCTGCAAAAAAAATTAAAAAAAATGGACACCTTCTGGGACGTGTTGGACACATGCCCACTGCGTGTCCATGTCCGACATTGAAACATAGCCTTTAGAGAGGAGTCCGTCCGTACTTCATAGACCAACACCTTAGAGTCCTCACCCTTGATACACCCAACCTAATTAAAATCTTTTGTTTTCCTCACTCTTATCTTAGCAAGTTTGTATATTATCTTTTTTCTCTCCTTATTATCTAGTCTAGTGTATAGGTCATCATAGGCTTTCAACGTAGTCTCCTTCACTACTTTTTTGACCTCCTTATTGGCCAATCTGTAGCGCTTAAAATTTTCCTCGATTCTATCTTTCTGCCACTTTTTAAAGTTCTTTTTTCTTGTCTTTATTATTGCTTGGTCAACACTAAGTCAGAAGCCAGTGCAAAATCTAAAATACTCTCTCTAGCCTCATTTCTATCACCAAAACCATACCCAAAATGCACCTTCTTATAACCTAGTTTATCTACTCTTACATGGCCATTGAAATCATCACCTATAACTAGATTCTCTCTTATGGGAAAGATTTTGAAAAGCAGTTGCGGTACGGTTACGGTGACGCGGTAGTAGTTGTGGGGTGTAAAGGCTGTAGCATAACAATTGCGATAAACAGAACCGTGATTTTTTTTTTAAATTTTTCACACAATTTGAAGAAAACTTATTGGTACGTATATATATGTATATATATTTTCAGAATCATATTTATTGGGATTTAAAATAAATTTTGAACAATTTTTATTAATTTTTAAGTATGATCCTATATATTTCATATTTTCAAATCACAATAAAAGGAGTTTTTTATATTTTATTTCAATAGTTAATAATTTTAAGAATAATTGATTTTAAATATTCACAAATTATTTTTTATCAATACCTGAGTTAACTAAATAAAATATATTCACAATTATTAAATTAAAGGATTATAAAATAAAAATTGTGCCATAAATTAAAAAAAAAATTTTAAAGATAAAAAATTCATGTAAGACTTTTTCTTTGGGTTTGAATCACTTGAGTATTTGTTCTTTTTTTTTTGTAAGCTTTTGTTTTTTTTTTTTTGTTGTGAAAAAATGAAGCTATTCAAAATATTGTAAAAAGATGTAACTGTGTCTAACGAACCGTTACGGTACTGCTATGGCCGTTGTGTAACACCAAAACAGCCGTTACACATATAAATTTCCATCACACCACTATAGCGGCCGTAACGGATGGCGGTAACCACCACAATCGTTACGTAACGATTGTGGCCGCTTTTTAAAACCTTGCCTACGGGTATCTCTTGTAATACCTCATCCATTTGGTCTCAAAAAACTCTCTTAGTCTGATCATTTAATCCTACTTGGGGGGGTGTATGCACTAATAACGTTCACTATATTTTCTCCAATAACTAGTTTAACTAACATCATCCTATCACCTTTCCTAATGACCGCAATTGCATTTTCTACAAGACCTTTGGCAACTATTATTTCTACCCCATTCCTGTGTCTATCCTTACTATTATAATATAGCTTAAAACCGGTATCCTCTATTTCCTGAGCTTTCTCACCCGTCCACTTGGTTTTTTGTACGCAAGTTATACTAACTCTCGCTCTAATCATGACCTCTATTAATTCCATAGTCTTTCCAGTTAATGTTCTTATAATTTATGTGACTATCCTAAACCTATAATCTTGGACTAGCTTCTTTATCCGCACTTGTTCAAAAAAACGCAGAAACCTTTATCCATTTTTCACCAAACCTAGGCGTCGATGTGGCGCCTCTTGTTCACTTTTCGAAACACTAGAGGTAGGTGCCTTGAAACTAAATACACAAAATAATCTTTTTGATGGAAGTTCTTTCAATTCAAAACTTGCATGTTAGTTGTAGTAATCTTCATTTGATTGGCAAGTAAAAATTTACCAATCACAAAATTATTGGGTCACATATATCTCAGTGTGGCTGCCAAATTCCAATTGTGCCTACAATGCATATTACACCCTGTTTCTTGCCATATGATTTGCCTGGTTACTGTTCGTTTTGTTTCTTTCTAAGTTTTGATATGTTGCATGAAGACTTCTGAGTTTGGATGGTTTGATCAGGCAACACTTATTTCATGAGTCTTACTTTCAGGTGAGGCTCATGAAAAATGCCTCAAAAGTATATGCACAATGGGAGTAGTGTGGGATTGTACCTTCATGAGGTGTAAGGTTGTTTATAAAGTTCTTTTCACTTTATTGATGCCCCTTTTTGGCGGTTTTGTTTGAATAAACTTTCTTGTAGTCGTGTAACATACGCTGGATATTTGAAACCCTTTAAATTCAAATTTACTTGAAGAATATTCCCAAAAAGAAAATGTTGGATTTTACACAACTCTGTTCTTTCTTTTTCTTTATTTTTACTGTATAAATACATGTTTATATTCTCACTACAGATTAGGATTGTCTCAAGTGTCAAGATTACAAGGGAATGATTTTCTCAATATCCTTTTGAGAAATCTATAACATTACTGGCCCTGAGTTCCCTATTTTGGGCAATGTATTATTTCGAACCTGAGTACTTTGTTTGGTATTTTTCTTACAATTTTTGTAACTACTGTTTCTCAGAAGTATATGACATTGGCTAATTATATTGTTGATGAACTGCTAAGGTCATTCTGTGCATTGCAATGCTATGTATTTAATGATTTGACTTTCTGGGACTATTAGTCTTTATGAGGAAATTTGAAATGATGAACTAGTGACCAAATTTCATATTCTTTTAATCTTTTAATTATAACTTTTTTGTTGTTTTTCTTTGAAATTTCTTTTAGTATTATACTCGCAACATTTTCTTTACCTTCATATTACATGGCCATTTTACTCATTCATATGTTTCAATTTGTAGTTGTTTTAATTACTATATGCATATGTATATATTATGTTGTCTTGTTATTTATCCCCCCCCAAAAAAAAAGAAAAAAAAATTCATCATCTATTGTTTTAACGGAAAATGAGAGAATACGGTTCCTATGTTTTGCATAAATGATCATTTGGCCTAGTACTCATGTATCAGATGGATATGCTTTAGCCTTAACAACAAACATAAATTTTTTTATTGATGGACTGCTGCTCGGTTGTGCAAGTGGTGAAAGGTCTTGTGTTTAAGTTTTCTAGTTATTTGGCAAATTGTGAAATCAGCTGATTGATTTAATCAAAATTTGGTTGTTTATTCTGTATATAGTTGGAAAGGATGGATAAGCCTGATTAATAATTTTAATAGCTTATTGAGTGAGTGTAAGTCTATGAAGCACGGGTGCGGGTACGGTATGGATACTGGTACGAGTACGCCGATACGGCAAGACCTAAAAAAAATAGGATACGGGTATGGTTGGGGTACGTTAATAAATTTTTTATTTTTTATAATTTATAGTTTGAGATTCAATCTACAAATCAAAGTTTATTACCAAAACTAAAAAGAGAAATTATAAAACCAAAAGAGAAATCATAGTTTAATAATACCAATACCAAAGTAAAGTCTATAAGCTATTTTAATGCCATTAAATAGGAGAAATTACAAATAAAGTTTCATTCCAAAAGCAAGTTAGCAAAATTTAAAAACTTGAAAATTTAGTTTTTACTTTCATCAACTTCATCTTGAATAATTCATCTTTCATCTTGAGCATGTCAAGTAAAGGATTTGCAATTTCAAGTAAATAAGAACTCTCTAATGAATTAAACGAATCCCTACCAATGTCCCATAGTTTGGTGTACTCCTGATATACCCATGAAGTAACCATGGAGTACCTAACTGCCAAAGAATGTATAAAAAATATCCGGTACATATTTCGAGTACCCGATATGCATGCAGCCCTATTGGTATGAGTATCAGTACCCGATAAGTATCCAATATGAGTACGACAATATTTTTCAGAGTATCCATGCTTCATAAGTACAAGTTAAGTTAGTATCTTATCTTCAGGGTCATGGTAGGTAAATGGTAGACATCAAAGTTATAGCTACGTCCTATGAACATGGTAGTAACCTAGAGAGTTTTGAAGTTTCTTCTATCTTTAATTGGTTACTTCTTGAGAATTTTTTCAACCTACAAGATGCATGGAATATATGTTCTTCTGTATATTATCCTCTATTTTGATGATGTCATCTAATTTTTTTTTAACCCATAAGGGAATGCAAACAAATGCACATAAGTAAACCCACAAACTATGATTTCAAGTTAAACGTGCACTTTCAGTTGTGCTACTAGTGGCAATAATTTCCAAACCCGAAAACTGAAATTTGCAAATTGGAAGTCAATATTATTGTTGCAACTTATGAGGCATCATGAAAGAGACCTAGTAAAATATCTTGTCCAGATCTGAATATGATGCAAGTACACTAGTCTTCATGAGTCAAGTATGTTGAGTTACATGTGTCTTATTATTTTATATTGGCTGAAGTAGTAAAAATTTCCATATATATATTTTTTTATATGATGAATGCTAGTGAAATTGGTTGCTGATCACACAAAAATAAAAAAATGCTAATGAATTGGAGAGAGAAGAGGAAAAAGTCGGGATACTCTATATGAATTTTCATTTGTTATGTGTGTGTGTGTGGTGCTACCATTAACCCAAGAGACAAGCACTGTATTTTCCTACCAAACCCTGGTCCCCCCCTAGAATCCCTCAAAAGAGGATGTCTTACCACTGGGGGAGGATGAATCTGTATTTGTTAAACAAAACAGCTCTTCAAAGGACATTGTAATTGTTGCCCATTGGTGATTCAAGGAAACTTTTTGTCTCAGTCAATTTGAAGGGAAAGTTTACATTGTACAAGGTTGTGATGGGTTTGAGTTTTCTGAGAAGCATGTGAACATACTCATTCGCTACATCTCTCTGTTTGACTAACCTGGCAAGGATCACCCTCTACCAGGACTTGGTTGTCAAGATTTTGCCTGTATCTTTATTGTTTGACTAACCTGGCAAGGATCACCCTCTACCAGGACTTGGTTGTCAAGATTTTGCCTGTATCTTTATTGTTATTTTACTAGTTACTTCTGTTTTGTCAAGATTCTGTGCATAATTATCTGCATTTATAGGTGACTCTCTGCTTTCTCACTTGAGATTTGTCCTTTTTCTTATTAGCCACTACAGAATTCAGGAAATTTCACCTTATTAATAATCAATTTATGCTCATCTTGTGTTTCATTTGGCAGGTACTTGATAGCCTCACACACGACTGACTACCAACACCCTATGCTATTCTTCAACACACTGGCAGTTTTTGTGTTGGTGGTTGCCAAGTTCCCACACATGCACAAGGTCCGTATTTTTGGAATCAATGCGGATCAGTGAGTCAAGGTCCGCTCAAACAATGCAAATTACATTTAAAACTCTAGTTACAATGTTTTGATCACTGTGGCGTTTTCCATGTAATGAGATTATCCCTGTACAGATGTTGATACTGTAAAGGGTGTATTATTTTTCTTCTTATTAAGCAATTTTCACTTGGTAACATGATATCTTTGTAGAAGCTGAATTTTCTGGAATTGCTCAAATATACACAGTCTCTGTCACTTAACTTTCGAAAAACACTAAATTAAGCTGTTATTGCTTTCTATATAATTGATATATGAATAGTGTTCATGGGATTTGGGGCTAAAAAGGCACAATTTTGGAGCTGAGCATCTTTGCTTTGAGGGGTTTTTTTATGTTATGTTTCAATGCAGTACTTGTATGGTCAGTGATTATTGGTTCCCTTCTAAGGCAAGGACAGTAAACCATATTGGGCCGAGGTCATGCAATGATTCTGCATTTTGGGGTTCTAGATGTTGTTAATAATCTTCTACTGATTTTTTTGTTAAAAAAAATATAAATATTAAAGAGTTAAATATATATATATATATATATATATATATTTGTTATTTACAAGAAAAGAAATGAAAAGAAAAGTTGGGGGCTATTTTTTGGGGGAAAAAAAAAATATAACACATTATGCGGTGGCCGGGCCAGTTGATGTGAGTGCGTGATAGCCTTTTCGGTAGAATAGTGTGTGTAGTAGGTTTGATCATTATATATCGTTTTAAGGAATGTTTTGAGAAGTTAGTAAAAAGTTAATTTTTTTAATTTTTTTTTATGGGCAAATTACATATACACCCCTCCAGGTTTGACAAAATTACAGATACCCCCCTGAGGTTTGAGAAATTACGAATTCCCCCCTGAATGCTATATTTGCATAAGAAATTAGGGGGTAATTTGTTATGAAATATAAACCTCAGGGGGTAAATTGTTATGAAAATACAAACCTCAGGGGGCGGGATGTAATTTCCGAAACCTCAGGGGGGTATCTGTAATTTAACCAAACCTGGAGGGGTGTATATGTAATTTGCCCTTTTTTTATTTAAAAAAGTTAAAAAGTCAAGAAGGCTAATTTTTTTTAGCTTGTTGCCAAAATGAGCCTAACTCGCTGGACTTTAAAATTATACATTGAAACTTCCAAAATTTTAAATTTTCTTTAATCTAATATACAATTATACAATTTTGAAATTATAGAATTTGGAGTCATGCGTTTATGGCAGTTGGGGTAATTTTTTTTTTTATTTGAATCTAATTTCGATGGAATCTATATTGAAAAGAAATCTCAGTTTGTTAATAAACTTTCTATGAGCCACTAAAGTTGTCGATCTACAGTTCTTCCCAACACAGCTCTTGTAATTGTGCAAAATTTGAACTTGTTCTTCCCAACACAGTTAATGATGCATCAATTCCGAAAAGAAGACTTGAGAAAGAATTAGCAATGAACCTGATTCTGTTCATTCACTTATTAGGTGAGTAAATAAAATTTTCCTCACTGATTGATTAAAGTACGTACAGTAAAATGCGTAAACAAAATATATTTTCTAATAACTCGAATACATACTTTTAATAATATTGCTCTGTTTTAATTTTAAACCAAGATAATGAATTATCACAATTGTAAAAGGATCCATGATAGAGGATCTTGGTCTGGGATTTCGTTCATCTTCATAGGTGAACAAAATAGTTTTTTATTACCTACCTTCTACAGCCGAAGGCAACTCAAAAAAAGTTTTTCAAAATAGTTTTTTATTACCTACCTTCTACAGCCGAAGGCAACTCAAAAAAAGTTTTTTATTTTTTTTTATAAAGAAAAAAACTATAATTACAAGGTCATGAATTATCAAACAGAATCTCTAGCATACAATAAATCTTTTTTTTGCCTCTAATCGTGTTGTAAAGGTGTGCTTTTAATGTTTAAAAAATAGAAGAAGCTCTCTATCTTAGGCTATCTTTGGGCAGAAAAAAACATAGCATAATTAGGCTAAAATTCACAAAAAAAATAAAATAGGCTAAAATAGTTAATAAGACAAACTATCACATCAAACCTATAATCATTTCACTTTTTTTCTCACAAACATCACATCCAACCATAAAAAAATCCAATCATCTTCCCAAACACAAATAGCCAAAAATTAAAATAGCCTACTAAAATAGCAACTTCCCAAACGAAGCCTAAGAAGTACGGATACGGATGTAGACGCGAGCACGGATGTGAATACGGGACACAGTAATTTTAAAAAAAATAAGGATACGAACACGGTGGGGACACGACAATAAAACATATTTTAATATTTTTTTATTTTCCATCTAAATTAATATTACATCTACAAACAATCAATATTAATAAAAAATAATTCTAATTTTTTTAAAGCCCCTTTAAATTAGTACTTATAGTTTATTATATGGATAATTTATTAAGTATTTAAATCAAAAAAAAATAAATAAACATTCAACATTTATCAAAAATATTAAACAAAATGAAAAAAAAGACAACTTGATATATTCATAATGTATACTTAAAGTGTCTTTAACGTGTCTCTTAAAAATAAATTAATTAAATAATAAAACACGCCATATAATATGTCACATACGTATTCTAAAAGTGCCCATATGTACTCAAAAATGTATGCCGATATGTCCTTAAAATATTCATATATCCGACACAAATAGGACACTTTATAATAAATGTCGGGACTTCACAACTCGCCATCAATCCAAGTCTAAACAATTTGGTAGAGGAAAAGGACATGCATTATAGGGTGGTGGTGGTATATCTGCATTGGTCAGTGATTATACACACCAAGTGGCTTACAGCAAAGGAGAAGAAAATAATTAAAGAACTAGTAGTAGTAGTATATACACAAATGGATGATGAGATGAGAGTGAGTGGGAGTGGGGGTAGAGATTATTCCTTAACACACTTGCCTAGGGGAATGTTTGTGGGTCCCTCTCTCTCTCTCTCCCAACAGAAAGAAGTGTGTTGTCAGATCTTTCTCAAATCTTTCACATGGAAAAGAAAAGAAAAGAAAGGAAAGGAAAGGAAAGGAAAGGAAAGGAAAGGGAACATGGCATGGAAAGACAATGATCATTCAATTTGAAATGGGGGGCAGTGAGAGTGATGAGTCTTCAAGACTGTTTGGATATAGAAACAAGTAGTTCAGCCTGCTGGTTTATACAGGCATAGTGGTTCCAATTAACCAATTGTGTTGTAACTGTTGTTTGTGGAAAATTATTGGTTGAAAATGTGGGGCAACATTCACATTTTTCATTGGTTTACAGCTCACACAAATTGGTATAGTACCCATATTAATAAAAAATATAAATAAATATTACAGGCGACAGTTAATAATTACTTATTTGTATTTAAAATTATATTATTATAATGCGTGAAGGTCATTTAAAAAATTTAATTTAATTTAATTTTTTTCACACTTTCTTTTGTTAGTTAATTTCGCACTTTTAAATAGAATGCATCACAATGTAAATGAGAATTATTATAGAATCTTAACAATTAAAAATATATTTAGTTCACACAGCATATATATGAAAGTGTCAACAAATTCAAACCTGACTCTTCATGAACTTGATCCCAATTCCCAAGGCTTCAACCAATTGTTTTGCCTATGTTGATGAGACCTGAAAACTCAGACTTGTTCGCAAGAAACAATAGTAAGAGAGAGAGAGAGAGAGAGAGAGATGAAAATCATTCATAGCGCCATTGCCTTGCCACCCATCTGAGTTTGAGAAAATTAACAACAATAACATGCATGCTAAATTCAAAGAAAGAGTCGTTCCAAAATGAAATATTTTTGATCCACAATTTGAACTCCTTACAACCTTGCACATAATAATAATAATAATAATAATACATTATTAAAATTCTTTGTACCAAACCCACCAGTTGCCCTTAAAAAATCTGGGCTTCAATCTCTTCTTCTATCCCAACCAAAGTTACCTTCACTGAAGCCAACCTAAAATAAGCTTCTACATTCCCACCATAACCAAAGGGTAAAGGAAACATAAAGTTAAAAAGGAAATTAAAGAAAGGAAAAGAAAGAAGGGAGACCATCTATCTATTTTTTACGAAAAATGTTATACATAAACAGATTTCTTACTTAATTTTCTTACTACTAGACACAGAGATAATGAATTCATACTAATAAGAAAATTTGGTAAGATTTCCATTTATGTATAACATCACTCATCGGTTAGTTTTGAAGAAATCCAAACAAGTCACCCACTCTGCAACACCCCCAAAACAAAAAAAACCCCAAAAAAACACAAAAAAATAAATAAAAAGAAACTAGATTGTTGTTCATCTTCTTTACCATGATCCACCACCCAACACTCCATTCCAATACCCCGTTGAATCTCCTCCTTGTTCTTTACCTTGCTCAATATCTGATGTGCTAGAGACTTGTTTCAGATCTTCAAATGGAAATAGAAGCCTCCCACCACTAGTCTCTTGCATCCCAAGCCCATCTAGAGAGAAATTAAGGGTAGGTTTGAATTCCTGCAGAGAAAACCCAGATGAGAAAATTGTGTTCTGATCCGACATCGGCATCGGCATCGGCACAAAGGAAGAATTCAACCCCCTTGAACAACTAATCCCAGTCAGAAGCTCCATAGCTGAAAGGTTTTTGTTGTTGTTATCAAAATTGGGCACTTGAATGAGTTCAGAGATGGTTTTGAAATCATGAGATGGGTAACCCAAGTTGAGATCTTGGCCTTCATGGACTTTAGGGTTTTGAGAAGTAGACTGTGATGAACTAGGCTGTGGTGGTGGGACCAGATCAGGAAGTTTCTTTGATGATGATGATGATGAAGATGGTGATGAAGATGAAGATCTTTTGTTCTTTCTTGAACATCCTCCAAAAGGGATGTTTCTGAGAGATCCACCTTCAGTCCAATACCTTCTACAACCCTTGCAAAAGTATCTTGGTTGTGTGAGACTGTAGTTGTTGTAGTAACAGAACTTTGTGTTGGTTGAATTGCACCTTGGACAGTTCAAGGCTTGTTCTTTCTGAGGCCTAACCCTCCTCTCTAACCCTGGCTTTGAACATGTGTTTGGTACTATGATCTCTTCCATTGGTTTCACTACTATCTCCTAAAAAAGCAAAACAAAAGCAACAAAAACAAAATGAAAAAACCATACATATATAGCTTCAAGATCCAATAAAAAAAAAAAAGAAAAAAACAAAGCAAGCTAGTCAGCTATTTTACACTTTCAGTTCTTCTACATGCACAAAATCCAATTATAAAATCAGATACAACCCACTCTTCCGAAAGGATTGTGTCCGGTTCTATATGCGATTATGTACACTTTCGCAAGAATCATAAAAGAAAACAAGAAAAAGAACAAATAATAATGATGACAATTGAATCTCTTTTTCAAACCCTTTATCTAGATAGGCAAAAGAACAATAAAGTGAAACATCTTGAAGAAGTGAAAGGAATGAAAAATAAAAATAAAGAGATTTAGTCCATGAAAAGCTCATAAAAGAAAGAAAATTTAGGGTTTCATAGAGATCAATTAGGAGAAGGTGATGGATCATTACCTGTGGCCATTGAGCAGTATCCATGGATGAAGAAGTGGTTTTCTTCAGAAGAGAGGAAAGTCACCTCTATTATTGTTGCAACTGATTTTAAAAAGCAGGAAAAGGAATGTTTGAGATGGTTTGTGTGGAGGTTCTTTGTGCTTTATGCGAGTTACTGTGCGTCTATGTACATGGAGAGAGATAGAGAGGTGGAGTGTCCTGTATAAAAATAATTTTTAATAATATATTAATTTTAAATTTATTAGTGGAAGACTAAATGTCACGTAATTTAATAGAAAGAACATTCTCTCCAGATCATATCACGTGTCATTAGATTTGTAAGGTTAATTACGGTATATATTATTAGCGGTTAGGGTTAGGGGTGGGCGCGGGTCGGTTACGGCCACGCAATTTTCAATCCGTCATCCGTTTGTTAAATTGGCGAATTGAAAAAAATCAATCCGCATCTGTCCTCCAATCCGACGGATATAGATTGAGCGGTTTGACGGATGGATGTGAATTGGCGGTTTAAAATTTTTAAAATTTTGTTTTTTTTACACACTAGACTTTGTTTACAGTGGCTAAAGCAACCATGCCTATATACATGGGTTGGATGAGGAGTGTGGCACACTACTTGTGTTCTTCTGATTTTTTTCTCTTCTCTTTAGTCTTTAATCGATTAGATTAAAAAATAATAATAATATAATAAAATTTCATTTAAGTGGGTCATCACTTTAGTGTTCAAATGTAAGTTAAATCGAAAAGCAAACTTACATGCGTTCATTAAACGTCAAATAAATCTTTATTATAATTAGGAGGCCTCATACACTAATTTAGGTATTAAAAGTTTTAAAAATTATTAGCTATTTTTTGAGTCCATCATATATTTACTTATTTTCCAGCCTTCTTTGCCATGCATGCATGACTTATTGTAACTTCTGGCGAGTATAATACCCAGCAACAACTATAAGACAGTTCCATCAAACTACGCATAAAAAATAGAAAAATATTAAAATATATATGTCAAAACTATTTAAAATTATATAAAACATGTGAAAAATATATTAAAATTCTAATTTTTTGACATTATTTAATTTTAACTAACACCTAATGGACAGTTGTTAGCAAGATTTTCTTAATTATATAGATGAAATGAGAATGTCCATTCATAATTAGTAGTTATAACAAACCACATTAACATATCTTGATTAAAATTGATCAATTATAAAATAAACAAAGTTAAAGGTTTGATTGAAATCTTAACTTATGTAATTTATTTCTACTTAAGGAAAAATTGTAATAACCAGTCTTGTTTCCTAATGATTGTTGTTAATGTTGAAAAAAAATATATAAAATGTATATATTGAAATATGTTAAAATATCTTAAAACATATAAATAATTAAAAATAATTTAATATTTTATTTTATTTATTGATAATTCTTAAATCTCTCATTAACAAAGTTCTTATGACAAATCTCAAGCGATATGACTTAGTAGATGCAGAAAGCAATCAAAAGGTGTATCACTCAAAAGATTACAGGTTCGAAATTCACGAAAGCCAAACATGCAAACCTAAGGATCACTGGATATTTATTTAGTTGTTAATTTGATAATTCTGAAATTTAGTCAAGATGCACGTAAAATAAATCAGTCATCCGATTATAATAGTAGTAATAAAAAAATTAAAAACAAAAAAACTTACCACAAAATTCAATAATTTATGCTAAGGTATATACATAATTAATTTATTTTTCCCATTCGAAGCGGAATGAAACGTGTCCCACGGAGTGATGCGAGCGAGGGGTTGAGTTGAGAAGAAAAGCGTGAATGGGAAAGAAAGGGTGGGGGCCCTGGTGCGCTTAGGGCGGTGGTGGTGGGCCCAGACATCATATGCGCGTGCAATTCCCCCAATGAAAAATGCTTGGGAGCACTAATTAGTGCTCCCACTAATTAGGTGACAGTGGGTTTCGCCATTAATGATGTGATGTTTTGGTCTTGAGTTGTGTTTTTTTTTTTTTTTACTTTTAATGCATTAGTGCTATTAGTGGTGATATTTTTGATGGGATGAATCATTGTTGTTCCCCCAATTTCAATTCCTACCAGCAACGGAATCAATCAATCACCACCGTCTGATCCATCAAACAAAAAAACAAACAACATGATGTCACTTTATTATTTTCACATTACGTGGATCCCAACCACCGTTTTAGTGCGTTCCATGTCAGCTTATATTCCCTTCCCATGCATCCTCCTCATTCAAATAATATCGTCAAATTAAAATTATCAATTATTTTATTTTATAAATTATAATTGCAAAATCTGTTTTTTGTGATTTGATTTAACCCAACACTCATATTTATCGCATACAAAATCAATTGCCCCGTCTAAAATAAAAATAATCAGTATGTTTGGTTTGAGTATTTTGAATTAAATTTTTTAATTTTCATATTTTTTTTATTTTTAATGAATATTTTTAAAAGTTTAAATTTTTTTTTTACTTTTTTAGATGCACTTTACTTAGATGTATTTAAAAAGTAAAAAATTTGTGAAAAAATATTTTAAAAAATTAATAAATACATAAAAATATAAAAAATGTACTGAATTCTCGTATTTTTTTATATTTTTGGTATTTAGTAAATTTTTAAAAAGTTTTTTTCAAATTTTTTTTTATTTTTTTGGTATATTTATGTTAGGTATGTCTAAAAAGTAAAAAAATATTACTTAAAATATTTTAAAAAATCATTAAAAATAAAAAAGCATAAAAAATAAGAAAGTAAAATTTTTTGAATTTTTTTTTTTTAAAAGTGTAACCAAGCAAACTGAATAACATTTATTATATATATAATACACATTCTAATTACCTGTTGAATTTTTAATTTAACATAAAAATTTAGCACAAGTTCAAACTTATATTTTAATACATTTTGGTCAAGTCTCAAAATTTTAAAGACTATACCAAGATGCTCAAGTTAGGCCTGTGGAAATTGATGTCCTACTATGATGGAGCAATTTAGAAACTTGGTAAAAAGTTAATTTTTTTGACTTTTTATCAAGTTTTTTTTAAAAAAAAATCATCAAAAAATATCAAAAAAGTCAATTTTTTTGCTAAAAAAGTTATTAAAAAAAGTTAAAAAGTCAACTTTTTACCAACTTTCTAAAACACTCTTATAATTTTAATTCAAATTGATAATTTTAGCTCAACTTCAAACTTATTATTCAATTTTAATTCAAATTGATAATCAGTGATGCTAGAAACCTCTAATTTAGAGGCTCTAAACACATCTCTAATGACGTGAAAAAGGAAAAAAATAAAAATAAACACAGCACTGACAGTAACAATGAATGAGACTTACTACCACATCACTAGTGACACCTCTAATTAAAAGTGCCAAGCTTTATTGATTGATAATTTTAGCTCAACTTCAAACTTATTATTCAATATATATATATATATGACAGAATAGTCAAAATTTAGGGGAGAATAATAGAACATTTCTCTAAAATACAACAAAATAACGAAAGAATCTTTTATTAGTCAAAAAGTGTTATCAAGATGAATCAAAGCCGTTGGATTTCGGCGACTGGCCAAAACAAGATTTTGCATCGGGACCCACCAAAATCTGAAGGGAGAATAAGGGAATTTGATATCCAATTATCCATCAACTCTAGGGGCGACCATTCGGTGGTACGTGCAGTTTCTCACTAATTACATGAATCGATATATATATATATACTAGTGGCCGGGCACACGCGATGCGTGTGCAAACTCGTTTAAAATTATAATATGATTTTGATATTATTTTTTTTAATAATATACATATAAATCATATGAATAATTATGTACAATGTAACATTTGATATTAACGTATTTGATAAATAAAACATATGCACATTACAATATGTACACGTGTTTTGAAAATTGAAATATTTACTAAACTTAACTAAAAAAACTATACAATAAAAATTCATATAAAATCTAAATATGATAACATGAGACCGGAGATCCTGCAAATCCTGCAATATATATATATATATATAAGATATATTTATCATAAGATTGCTAATAGTATACATTGATTAAAATTATATTTCACGTTATGAGGCATAATTATACATAAGTTTGGTTTTATAATTGGCTTATTATGTATAAAGGCACAAAAGGTAATTATTGTGTTAATTTTTTGTAAACAAAATCTAAAAGTTGAAAACTTACATATCGACATAGATTGACATCGTTCATATCAAATGTCACGTTCAATGATGTCTTCAAATTGTTTTGATGCAATTTTTGCCATAGATCTATGACAACATTAAACTACAAAAAATAAGATGGAATTGACCGAAAATGAAGTACGTAACTTTAGTTATACATACAAACCTATAGATAGATTACCTTGTAACAATGTTGCACATGTATTTGTAAGCTTTCAATTTTTGTATCATTCGTTGCCTGTAAAACTGAGGAAAAATATCTCACAGTCATGTAAGTTGATTGTTTGACAAATTTATAAAATCTAAAATTAATTTGTAAATTCACAAATATGAATATATGGAGCGTAGTAGTAAAGTTCATAAGACTTGATCTTTTACCACATATATGTCCATATTGTCTTTGCTGCATATACTTGCTCTATCAGATATGATAGGATTTCTATAAAAAGATTACAATAACTATTAGCAAATGAAACATAGTGAAATTCTTCATATAAAATGCCACAAACACATTATCATACCGATGTTGTCGTTGCCTCAAAAGCTCTCGCACAATTAATTTTCCCAATTGTTTTTTATCAACTTTAATAGAGACCTCCCATCCAAAACTGTATATGGAGAACTGTTTGACCTACATTAATTTAAAAGGTATAGTCAAACTCAAAATATATGCGAATATTGTCAAATTAAATAGCAAAAATTTTACAAACATTATTTTTTGAACATAAGTGAAGCCAATACCTGATTTTTAACTTTCTTATCTGCAACCATATTTGCTTCCTCTTGGTAATTCTCCCAAAGCTGAAGTAGCTTTATTTTTTCAAGTATTCCTACAATCAATAATTATATGAAGATATATTATAAGTATATTAATTGTAGATTTTAAGAAATGACATAATATAAGCTGAATAAGAACATATTTAGTACATACCTCATGTATCAATAATTTGGTAACAAAACGTCTTTGTAGACTACATTACAGGTATACACTCCTTCTTCATTATTAACTGAACCCTTTTTAACCAAGACTTTCGTTGTTTGATCTGACACTCCTCGAGATAAAGCAACATATAGTTGCCCATGACTAAATACATGATCGGGAAGGTAAATTCCCACATGTGGAATTGTTTGACCTTGTGATTTATTTATCGTCAAAGCAAAACTAAGGCGAACTGGAAATTGTGTGCGAGTCATTTCAAATGGAAGTTTCAAGTTTTCCGGAGCCTTTAATGGAATGCGATGTAGGAAAACTCTCGTGCCTTTGAAATGTCCTGTCAAAATCTCTGAATCTATGAAATTATCGTTCAAAGCTCGACATAGTAGCCTTGTGCCATTGCACAAACCAGAAGAAGGGTCAAGATTCCTCAAAAGCATAATTGGGGCTCCAACTTTCAAATGCAATGCATGTGGGGGCATTCCTCCTGGTGAAATGGAATTTAAAAACTCTTGTTGATACAAATTTTGGGTATCATTTTCAACTTTATCAAATGAGTGGTACACTCTTGATTCTCCTAAAAATCTCTGAATTATTTTCTCATTGAGCTTGTCGACATCTTCATTGCGAGGAGTTATTATGCCCCTACTAACCATATACCCGGCATCAAAGGAATGGTTTATGATATCAGGATAAATTTCTTCTAATAGTTGAACTATTGATTCTTCGCCATTCCATGGTATTGCCATCGATGTTGGTACTTTGATCATTTCATCTATAATGGTAGGTTGTACACCATTTCCAACAGATAAAAGAAATTCACCAAACTGTTGGTCATTTATAGAGCGCATGTTTTGCTTTAAACGAAGTATTTGAATGTGACTCCAAAGAGGTGATTTGACTATCGATGCAGCAATAGTTTCCGCTTTTGTACCTTTAGGAACAACTGGAAGTACTTGTCGAAAATCACCACCAAACACCATAATTTTGCCACCAAATGGACAATCAACACCAGTGATGTCTATGAGTGTTCAATTCAAGGCTTCAAAAGCATAACGATTTGTCATTGTAGCTTCATCCCAAATGATGACTGTTGCACATCTAATCAGTTTTGCCATATCTGATTGTTTAGTAATGGAAACACACAGAGACGGAAGCCTCTGGATTTAATGGTCTTGATCTTGAATGGGCTGTCCTTCCACCAGGTAAAAGTGTAGCTGCATTCCAGAAGTTGCCGTTGAATGGCAATTCTCCCTTGACTTCTCACTGAGGCCAATAGTGCAGATATAAATAATGTCTTTCCAGTTCCTCCTGGGCCATCCACAAAGAAGATTGCACCAGTATTGCATTCCACAGCCTCCATGATTGATTAATGCTAAGTGTTGATCACTATTAATGTGGCAATAGAATTTAAGTCTCTCGAGGAGTTACAATGGAAAACTCATCTTGTATGACCTTTGGAACTGTTGAATTATCATCCAAATTTATTGTCATCTCGGCAAATCGTATTCTGATATGTTCTTATTATGCAATATATGAAGAGACGGTATTTACTTGCAGGGTTTTGTTAAGGATATACATATTATTCATACTGTTTGAAGATATGTAATCTTCAATCAAGTAAGGATAAATTTCATCCCACAAACTTCGCACCCCTGTTGGCACACAGTAAACCAAAATTGTAACGAACAATCTCCTTAATGCTGATGGCATGTGCATGGTTGCAGCTTCTAACAAACATTGTCGTATGTTATCATCATGCTCTAACAAACCATGATGTTCAGTTGCTTGTTTAAAAGTTGGGTATGCAATTCCATTAACCATTAACAAATGATCGAATGATTTTGGTCCTCGGATATGATTGAGTAAAATTCTTAAGTAAAATCTCTCCCCTTCTGATGGCGAAACTGTGTAAATTCTACCAATTACTCTTTGATGGTTCAATCTCAACTACCAAATCTTTGTGCTATTGCACCATCTATAGTGTTGCGGTATCTCTCGATATAAGTATCGATTTGCAGTTTCATCATCAACATTTAATTGAAAGAATTGGGTAAGCATTGTTCTGGAATAATACTCATCGGCTAAAACATTTTTGATGTCTTGGAACGTATAAAACCTCACTTGCTGCTTATTTGGTAAGTGTATTTGGAGGCGTTCTACGCTAGGAGTCATTTTGGTCATTGAGAATTTGAATATTTTCCACAATGCTTCTGGAGCACAAACCATCTTCCATCTATGAACTGTTGTACTTCGTCATAATTAGGACCTTGACGAACCTCTAGTGCAACACGGTCAGGCCCTTTATAAACATATTTGTATAAATACTTCATACTTGTAACACTACTGCAAATTTCAAGATTGATATGACAATCATATTTCAAGAGCAACCATGGGTTGTATGGAATGACCCAACTATTATCCACCAAGACGCTTGGATTACTCTCTAAAGGAACTGACTCCCCTTCTCTTCTTCGATAAATAGGATATGAATCGTTTCCAAGTGTAGTAATTGAACAAAATGGCTTTGGGAAACGTCTTTTGCACCGACCATTTGTCATACACGGGGACCGTTCATTGTACATTCCACATGGGCCATGTATCATGTGTTTCAGAACTACACTGCATAATCTAGGCTCTAATCTCTTGTCTGGAATTTCAGCTCTGACAATGTTATCATAATCATCAGGAGTGCGTAACTTATCATTTTCATCCAAAATAATGACCATGCGGGCATGTGGTAAGCCTCTTTTCTGGTACTCAATAACATATGCATATGCCAGAACCTTACCGAGTACATGTTTTGTAAGAATGTCAGTCTTCATCTCATCAAATTTTGAATGAAATATTCTTGTTAGCAAATCAGGACGATCATGTGGTGACTGTCCAGGTAGCAACTCAGCTTTAATTTCAGGCCAATTTGGATTGCAGGTCATCGTAAGGAAAAGATCAGGTTTTCCATACTTTTGGACCAGAGCCATTGCATCTTGATATCGCTGATACATGTCTCGTGGGCTACCAACAAATGACGATGGCAATATTGTTCTACGACCAACATTACCTAAACAAATATTTCACAAAAGGAAAAAAGAAATTGTATGTTTGAATATAAACAAACATGCGTACATGTAATTGTAATATCGTACGTGACAATTTGTACCTCCATAATTTTCACCAGCATGTATTGTATCTAGAAGACCTTGATAAAAATCTGCTCGAATGTGATTCTGATGAGTACGTATCCATCTTAATTTGTTGGACTCAATCTTCACGTAATTATCTACAACATACTGTTGTAAGAGACGACCTCCTCGAAGAAAAAGAGATTGATCACCAGGGCGAATCTGAATTGATAGTATTTCAATACTTATAAATAATTAAAAGTAAAGATTTTATACGAAATAATTATAGATTGAATAACTTCGACGAAGTAATTTTTTAATATTATGTATACGTCGTTACCTGTAGCATATAAGAATAGAAATCACAACATGTTACTTTTCTGCTATCATTGTTTCTGGTATTTACATCCCATCCATATGAACTGTAGGGTAACAACAGAGGATACTGTAATGGATCATAGTATTCGACAATATCAGAAATATTTAGGAGGTGACCACTGGTTGATTGGACAATGATATCTCTTGGTTTTAAATTTCCAGCTTCTTCGCCACCTACTAAAACTGCAGCAACTTCAGGAGCAGTAGGAAGGTTGTATTGGGGCCTATTACGTGGTTGCTCTTTGATTTGAAGTCTGCATTCATGTATGTCTAGACGCTGAGCCAATTGGCGGAACGTGTGTACGAATGGATTATGAGTATTTAAAATATTCTTTATCTTGTCAAGCAAATCCAAGTGCAATTCTTCATTTTCAGACATTCGATTCTCATTTTCGTGGTCAGTGTCATAAACATACAGTTGCAAATATCTCGGTCTGTCGCTAGAATTTGGTAAGAGACTCCCAATCTTATGATATATGGCTCCTTGTGCACGAAACGTGTACACACTTCGAGTTCTTGTTGCTAAGTTTTCATCAACATGAACACCCATTGAAGTGAATGAGAAAACATGATTGTAGGCTCGAATATTTTGTCTGAAATGACGACCTTCCACTGTTTGGTCAGAGAAAATATCAATTATCTCATTTGGAGCTGTTACTGGTGGCAAAATAATTGTTCCATTATTACAACACATGGTAGATGTTTCACGGTGGAACAATCTTGCGTTGCAATGTCTACATGTAGTTGGAGCAGGGAACTGCATTCTTTGGAACCTTTCAGTTTCATGAAAATTTCTTGCACAATTATGATAGCTCCTATGGATAAATGATCGATTATCTGGAATATCTTCATCACTGAAAGCATCCTGATCGTGGTCGACGTGAGGGATATTTCCTATAACAATACATGTATGATGTATGGGTTTATTATTAACACAGTAGTATTTATTTGAAAGTGTTTGAGTTTCATGTTGAATATTAAATGTAATTGTACTGCATATCATATTTGCATGATCATATTTTTTACATTTATTGTAAAGGTTGTTTATTTTGTAAAAGTACTTAAACTAAATAAATTATTTGTACCTTCTATCTGAACTTCACGAAGATCTTGTCTGTTGCCACTTGTGCTTCCATGCTCATAAGTCGAATGAGTAGGTGCATATCAGAATAAGTCGATATGTGAGCGTAGAGACATTCTACTTTCCCGACTAAAAACATTAGTCACAACTAAATCCCCTTCTTTGTGAATGGTTGGCAAAACTGTTGCTCGCGGCCTACGCCATTCTGTTCTATTTCTTCTTGGGATTGCATCGAAAAAGTTTAACATGCATCCTAGCAGTTAAAATTATAAATAATAAATTAAATGAATATTAATGTCAAAAGTGTAAAAGCTTACAAAAAAAAAAATGTTTATAACATTTGAATACTTACTACTTGTTTGTGCATTCGTCATATTATGTACTTGATTTGGATGAGAAGTTTGTTCGATATTTTCAGATATTTGCCTTCTTTGTCGATAATTTGTTCGTCGCCTTGCAAGTTGTTGTTCGCGTTGTTCAATAGTCAAAGCAGCCCTCCTTTGTCTAGCGTAATTACGCCAACTTTCCCTTTGAATTTCCCTTTGTTGCACATTAGAGGTCGCACTTTCTTCACGAATAAACAATCTTCGCCTGCGCTGAGCAAGACGGCGTTGCTCCAATCTTGCTGAGCGTTGTTCAGTGCTTAAGTTTTGAAGGCGTAACTGTTCGAATTCTCTTTGTGGTTGTTCAGTTTGAGCATTTCGTTCCGAAGCTGAGCGTTGCCTTCTCTGTTGTAGGTATAAACGACGTCGTTCACGATTTTGTTGTTGTACATGTCTCAAATTTGATGTGTCAGGGTAATCGTGATTCATTTTCCTAAGATTGTAAGCAAACTAACACTTACGTAGATGAAATCCGACTATCTTTAAAATGTGCCTACATTATATAAAATTATGTAAGAGGCAGTTATAGTATATTCACAATGCGACTCGTATACTCACAATATAATAAGCTTTATATTTTTATGTAAGTGTTTTCATATGTTTGTTTTTATATATTTTTATAATGCATATTATTTTAAGTACTAATCTCATTTTGTGGAGAATTAAATAAAATTGCAAGCGAAAGAGATTACCTAGTAATGATGAGCCAAAGCGTGTGCAACTTGAGATATGATTTAAAAACATACTGAATATAAATTTTTCAAACATTCGATTAAATATAAAAATAAATAAGAAATAGAATTAAAAATACTTACAGTCAAAAGAGAAGTAGAAGATAAGTATTAATAAAACACAACTGTAGAAGTTATTTGTTCTGACAATCACAAACTCATTACGTAATAAACATAAAAAAATCATATGAAATTTTAGGACCACTAAATTCTTTCTTGTCAAAAAAATACACTTCAAAACAAACATATGAATAAACAAAGGGTTTTTTTAGAAAAGTTACAATAAAAAAGATTACACACCTACAACTTTCTTTGAATTTTGGCCACCCATGTTTTTTTTCCAAATTTCATGAGATTTGGCCAAACTTTCATGAATTGTAACTAAAAAATTATACAACAAAAATTCATATAAATAAATATTGAAAAATTACATATAAATAAAAATAAAAATAAAAATAAAGATTGAATAAAAAAAATTACATATTTGATTTTTTCAAGCATAGAAAAAGAAGTTATATATTTGAAGACATTACAAACTGAAGCAATAGAACACTTACCGTCAAAGCAATTACGTGTCGATAGAGAATAATCCGAAAAGTTTATTCTGAACAACACAAAGTTATAAAGCAACCTTCTGAATCAATAAACGAAGGAAAATAATAGTCAGTTTTTCGCTCCAACAAATCGATTAACATACTTTTTTTCCTTTTACTTTTTAATGAAGAAAATAAAAAGTGTAAGTAATAATGGTACACACAAAATAACAAAACAGGAACCCATATTCTTGGAACACTTGCAGTAAAAAATAAATAATAAACCCACAAATTAAAAAGACTTCTTTGTTTTTAATTTTTTTTTGAAATAAAACAATTTTTATGAACATTGAATTGTTTTTAAGTAAAACACACACACAAAATTAAGCAATCAAACAACCTAATTTTTTGAAAACATAAATTGTACACACACAAACACAAATGTTGATATCCTCTTTACTATTTATAATTTTTTTTAATTTTTTATTTGTGTAACTAAATTTAAAATTATATTTGGTACATAATTTTTCAAGGTATCCTATATCTCTCTCTCTTTTAATTTAACATTTTTTAGAATCTTGTTATTATCTACAAATAATAAACTACTAATCAATAAACAAATAAATTGAACCTTATCAGCTATAACAAATAAATTTAAAATTTTGATTTGTCTTCAATTATTTTTCTAATTTTTATTTTTTAATTTTTTTTAGGAACAATCCAAATAGTTTTGTTATAATGATCATGAAAAAAATTAAATATTTATTTTTAATTTTAATATATTTTGGTGTCCTCCTTATTATCTATAATTTCTTTATTTAAAATTGTATTCATACATCATTTCTCAAGATATCCTATATCTTTCACTTTTTTTTTTCTTTTTAATTTGTAACTTAGATTAAAGTTTATATGATGGAAAAAAATCAAAAAAATAAAAAATCATAAAAATGAGTGTAAAATCGTCATCATATTATGGGTTTTAAGATTTTTATCCTATATCTTCTTTTTTTTTTTCTTTTTAATTTGTAACTTAGATTGAAGTTTATATGATGGAAAAAAATTAAAAAATAAAAAATCATAAAAATGAGTGTAAAATCGTCATCATATTATGGGTTTTAAGATTTTTAATTTCATAAAAGATAGTTCTCTTATTAATAAATTATCAAGCTAATTAACAGTTTTTAACAATATTAAAATTTTATTTCAATTAATAATTTAGATAATTTTATTATTGTATAGATGAACAGTTAGAAATTTTACTTTTTTCAATTAATTCTGTTAAATGAAAATTTCTGACATAGAAATATTTGTAATTTTCTAAACCATAGGGGGCAATTTGTATTTATTTTTTATCCCTAAAAATTATGTTGGCACAAATTTTGTATTCATATTTTCTCAAGTTCTTATGTACTACCTAAAAATTAAGGAAGCAACAAGCTAATAGATCAATACCCGTATCTGAATTGGTTTATCAGAATTTTTATGATACGCCATAATAAAGTAATAAAGTAATAAGTTTTTTAATTAAAATATTAAGAAACATTGAAGAAAAGAGTTTCAGTTTAATTTTTTTTACAGAGAACTGGAAGAAGAAGAAAAAACTTTACAATATACAATCTGTATTTTACATACCAATGACATAAAAATAAATTATATACAGAAAATATACCTGACAATACTTATTTTTATATTTTTACTTGAGTAGCAGTCGCTTTAAAAATTAACAAAATGATTGAGATGATCCAAAGGTAAAAATACAACTGTTAATTAATATTTTTTTTAAATAGTATCTCTAATGAGATGATCCAAAGGTAAAAATACAACTGCTTGTTTACACCCAAAATAGATGCAAAAACACAAACCCATTAAACATAGATTCACAAACACTCAAATACCATTCTCATCTAACAAAATATGAAAAATTTAAAGCAAACCCATAATAATATATGTTTCCAATTCTGTTATTTCTTGGTGGTTTTACCTTCAGAGTGGCCACTTCCTTAACAAAATGATTGAGATGATCCAAAGGTAAAAATACAAATGTCAATTAATATTTTTTTAAAATAGTATCTCTAATGAGATGATCCAAAGGTAAAAATACAACTGTTTGTTTACACCCAAAATAGATGCAAAAACACAAACCCATTAAACATAGATTCACAAACACCCAAATACCATTCTCATCTAACAAAATATGAAAAATTTAAAGCAAACCCATAATAATATATGTTTCCAATTCTGTTATTTGTTGGTGGTTTTACCTTCAGAGTGGCCACTTCCTGCCCCCTCGGCCGCCTTCTTCGCAGCCTTCTCTTGAAGTGCCTTCCCATCGCTACACATATGCATGAATATAAACAAATCTGAACCGTAATTAAGCAACCAATTACTATCAAAACTATTTGAATTTTAGGGGCCAAAAAAAAAAAAAAAAAACAATTGAACCTTTCACGACGCTGCTCGGGGGTTAATCCATTGTCCTTGCCTTTACCCTTGGCGGTACCTGGAGCCTGAGCCCTTTCGCGATCACGATCCCTCTGGTTACCACGTTAGATCGAATCAAGGAAAACCCATCATACATAAACAAACATATTTATATACAATCAAAATTGAGAATTGAGAATTGATTTGATGAATTAGAAAACATGAAAAATTGTCGATCAAAAACAAAAATTGCATAATTTTTTATGAAGTTGCAAAATGCAGTTCAGTTATTAGGAATAATTCAGTGAATTCATACGTAAGAGAACTTACGAAATAGGGACACAACCAATCATCTATCCACAGGCTGCTTTCAAGTGTTATCAAAATTGAGAATTGAGAATTGATTTGATGAATTAGAAAACATGAAAAATTGTCGATCAAAAACAAAAATTGCAGAATTTTTTATGAAGTTGCAAAATGCAGTTCAGTTATTAGGAATAGTTCAGTGAATTCATACGTAACAGAACTTACGAAATAGGAACACAACCAATCATCTATCCATAGGCTGCTTTCAAGTGTTATGAAGTTGCAGATTTTTTTTTTGCAAAATGCAGTGCAGTTATTAGCAATAGTTCAGTGAATTCAGCATAAAATGGAAAATGCAGTGATGCTATAACTGCATGAGGAGTGGAGACGTGGGAAGTGAGAAACTGAATTGGTTGTTTCAATTTACGATTTTATCCCTTAATAAAACTGATGTAAGTGTAAGAAATTAAGGTCATTTTAGGGAAAATTGATAAAAAATTTTGAGAAGTGGCTTCATGACACCAAAATTGGTGTTGGCTTTTAATAATAGAATAGATGATTTTGCTAAGAATTTCAACACTTAAATTTGATGAGACTCGAAACATAATGAAAATATATATAAATGATATGTACATAAAAAAATAAAAAACAAGATTAAAATGCGATTTAAAAATAATGATTTCTCCTCAATTACATATATATAAAAATTAGAATAACATTTAACAAGCCTAAAATTATTAAAAATACTCTTATTCTAAATTCAAGTCACGGGATTAAATTTAAGTGTTGTTATTAATATTACATCAATTATTTTGATTCCTTATTTTATATATTTATTATTATAATAATAATCTCAAATGAAATTATTAAAAAGAACATTAATAATTTTGAGAGCATCAACCTCCATTACTACCTATCCATCTTCTCCAAATCCCACCGTCAAAACCTACACACCCTCAAAACCTTGAAAATATTTTAGCAGCAATATTCCGACGGTAACAGTGGCAATCATTTGATTACATACACTTTTTCGGTAATAACAATGAGTGAAAGTTTTTCCGCCAACCACAACTCCATTAGATGAGAGGAGTACAATGATAAAAAATCAAAGGAGGTTCATAACTTTGATGGTATTCTTAACTCAGAGGAGATTGGCCTTATAAGGGTAAATTTCTTGAAAAAAATGACAAAAATAATAAAACTGTTCGTCATTTTTTTGAAATTGAACTCCCAAACATATTACCGAAATTCGGGAATACAGGCCTGAACATTATTCATTTATTCTGGAATAAGTAACTGAACATTTCTTATTTGTTTGGGAACAAATAATCAAAACTTGTAAAGATCTCAAAACCCACAAAAAAGAAATTTTGAATTTGTAGGGGGGTTCGATGTTAAGAATGTGATTAAAGAGAAAAAACTATGCTAATGATCCAAC